CATATGTCAATCCTTGAATCATCTGTCAATGGAGTAAAATTCTGAATATTCCTTGAGACTGGGGCAACTATACAGGGCGAAATATCGAGCACAAATCTTCAAGTGAACCTATCCAAGAGACTCTCGGCCGGAAATCAGAAAAAGAGAACTCAGCCCTCCACGCTCCAATAACCAGATCAGAGTCGACAACAGGCTGAACCACCTCCAGAATGCCTCTTTCGGCGAGGACAGCCCCCTCCATGTCCCTGGTTATTGCGGTATAGCCGCGCATGTGATAGAATATATCACAACGAATAAGCACTTCTCTTTTGACCGCCAGAGTAATATGAATGAGACGACCCATATCAGTGGCCTTGGGCCCCTCATCTTGAAGATGGTCATACAACAATTGCCGAAAAAGCTGACCCAATCCGCCGTTCATTGCATAGTAGGTCGAATTTTCCATCATGACTAGGTAAATGCAGGCAGGTGAGAGTGCGTCGGTTTGAAGTTGGCCATATCTCTCTCTGCATGCTGCCAGGATACTGAGGTGAGGTGTCATAGAATGCCCTTTTGGGTCGTTTAAGACTATGGCTTCAGGCCTATCAGTATCGAAGTTGACCGGATGATAAGTTTACTCACTATGAGAGAATGGTTGAAAGAGTGGTCGGAAGTCCATTGCGGGTGGCTGAAAGGGTAGAAGTCAAAAGAATGGACCGAACTGTGCGCGGACCTTGAAGAGCTGAAGCTTGGGGAACGTCCTGGCATAAATTAAATATCCTTTCTAAGCAAATACCCATTCTCGGGTACTCCGAAAATTCCCATGTGCAGGGAACTCTGGTACGAAAAGTCATTTCTTGGTAACTCATTAAGTACGCCGCATTTGAGGGGTAGCCTTAAAATGGCGCCAAACCCATGCAATGGATAAAATTATCCCTACAAGTGAGATCAGCATGCAGCGGTTGTTAGTTCTCAGACACTCAGTCAGTTATCCAATGAAAGGTGCATCTGATCGGACTCCACAATGGCCCTGCTAATCAGCTGCAGGCGAACACAGATAACACGGTATGAAGGGCTAGAGGCGTTCCCGCTGTGCAATGGCGCTAAGTCTACGCCACTTTCAGTAAGACAGAAATTTCGAGCTTTGAAAGGCTTTTGTATTTGTATTGGGGGAAGTGGGCCAAAATACTTGTCTTAATAGGTCAGGACAGCCTCGAAGATAGTGCTATTAGAAGACCCCTGTCGCGTCCGGGAAATACTCTCTCCTTGTTCGTCCGGGTTTTGGATCAAGGGTCCCGGGAGCATCTCAAGCATAAGATAAATACTCGACCGCTCCACCTTCCCGGAACCATGATTCAATCTTTCAGCAGAATCCATTCTGGATACCTGCTACCATGTCGTTGGATGAGGACTTCTGTGTAAGACAATCCATTCTAGGTTTCCCTGCAGTCATATGCTAATTGATGAAGTTTCCTTTCCCAAGAATCAGTCTCCGAGCCGCCGAAACGACTTTAATTGTTCAACAAGTGTGGCTTCTGGGCACAAGAGATGTCAAACGAGCAATAAAGCGGCAGCACAAACCCAATGCTAGAACTGCATCCCTGGTCTCCACCTGCCAGGCCCTCAGAAAATATCGCTACTGGCCCCTGAGGAAACGCAAAGCCTTGGCCAAGAACAATATACTGAAGAATTATGCCCAACGTATGGCAGGCAAACTCACTTGTGATGATTTGGCTATGCTTTCCCTTCTCGCCTGGCATTTTGACTCGAAAATGGTGCCTCTCCCCCGGAGGCTTCTTATATTCTTCGCCGACCCCTACAAGCAATTTGACACAGTGTGCCGATCTATCCACCTCAGCTACACGAAAATGTATGGACCGGATACGTTGGCAAACTTCGAGGGAAGATTGAGGAAATTGTTAGGGCTATTAGAATGACACGTGATCAAAGGCGACGCGGTCTTGTATACCTAGATTCGACCCTCTGTTGAGACCTTGCCACATCATACTAGTCAATGAGGAATAAAAAAGACAGTAGATATATGCCGAGCTTCAATGCAATCACCTGCCTCAACGCCAACTTCAATCACTGAATGTTATATCACACTTCCAACTACTTTCCTTTGCTCTTCTCCCGAACTATACCTCTCAAAGTTTGTTGTGGGATGTGCGAGCGAAAATTGAGGTTGAAACTTTTCCTGCAGCTGCCTATTGTGCTGTTAGTTTGTCATCCGTCGACGAATTTTCTCTGCAACATACCTATCTCACTCAATGGGATCTATATCTTAAGCACGGCCAACAGCATTGCATCGGTTACTTCTCTTCCTGGGACTGTTTCATCGTCAACCTCAATACATTAGGCCTGTGTTTGCGTGAAAAGACTCACGGCAATTGTCAAGTACAAACTCAACAGAGAAACATTTGTTGTAATGGCGGCGTCCTGGGCGTCCTGGATCATCCTCCAAAGGAAGATCACTCTGATTTATCGGGAATCCAATGGCAACCCGGTAGCATTGAAGAAATTCCGGAAAATCTTTCTTCGTTATCAGACCAAGACCTCTGTGGATATCGTCCCCTTCATTCCCTTCACCTTCGCCTCCTTCCCCTTCCTTTCGACAATGACGGTAGCATGCATTTGGATCTGAAAATAGCTGAAAACATCGTGGACAGATATATTCCAAGCGCGTTTTTGTCAGAGCTTGCATCAAGATTGCGAGCCGCCTTTCTACATCAGACATCTTGAAGTGAATAGAAAAAACCAGGAAACAAAGGCTGACAATTTGACAAAAGTCCACTCTTTATAGGCGAGGGCCGGCTCGCCAGCGCATCTTCACATATCCAAATACATTAGTAAATGCACTTGCCGAATATAACTAGCGGTCGGGGTGCAAGATAGTACTCCTGCCAATTTTTGATTAAGATTCTGATACGAAAGCCTTTGGGATGGCACGGCCTCGACCGATTGTGGCCTTTGGTTTAATGTTCGTTCCAACATAGGTACTAGTTTACAGCTGCTCTTACAACCTCGCATATCGAATACCCAAGTATTTTATTAGCCATATAATTCATATTATCTGCGTGATGGCACTATCTAAGATATAAAGCTGGGCGGGTCAGGAATAGTTGAAAGCATGATCCTCGGGCAAGGGCTCGCGAACTCCTTTGGAGGCCTCGTGTTTCAGGAGATTACGTCCAATGGAAGATTCCACCAGCTCTGTCTGCGAGATGCAGTAGTTTTCAAACCACATTTGCTGAATAAAATAAGGTGTACTTGGAATCCACTCCTTATTCCTGATTTCGCGCTGCATGTGGTAATAAACCTTCGTATCTTTGCCATCTCCCAGTTGTTGAATTATGCGCAGATTACCGAAATCGAAGTCCGAACTAGACGGTGGTTTCTATTTATTATCCGTTAGAGCCATGGATTGGAAGATGACTTAATGCAACAGTTCCGGGACACTCACCGCAAGCTCGTCCAGTTTTTTCGCAGAAATAGATTTAACGGAAGGTCCACGATGCGGTGCTGAATACTGATACTCCGCTTCTAGATCAATGGTTATTATGTTGCAGTCCAGCATATCAAGCAAGCATCCAAACCTTGAGGGCCTTCCTGTGATTGCTTCCTCGCCCTGCAGCATCCAAGGAGGAGTTCGAGAAAACGAGACCAGGGACTATTTGATATACCCATATTTCACACAAGACGTTAGATATCGAGAGAGAAAAGATATAGATCTTCGTTGGGAGATTTTAAAAACAGCACAGCACTCAATTGAAGGATCCGCGACGTCGAGACCGTATAGATATGCCCGATTATATACCCCTGAATCGTACCAATGTCTCGTATGTTACCCCGGCTATCATTATTGGCTAGAGTGTTCCAGCTTCAGGGCTCTTGTTGTTTCCTGCATGAGGCCGATCAGATATATTCGCGTTTTGAAGGAGGTCAAAGCGAAGTTTTGATACAGGTTATGCGACGCACCCAGGAAGCCTATGCTTCGCAGACTATACTACGGTCATGGCGATATTAGTGTGCCTGTGATCAAGAGATCCTAGATCAGGTTACATACATATTTTACAGGTTTCGTATTACTCGATTAGCCTTTAAGTATTCGGTCTTCGTAGAGAAATGTCACATCAAATATATTTCGACTAAATGACGCCGCCGGCGCTCTCATCCATTCGTGTCCTGATGGCCCGGACTATAATTCTAAATTCATAGCCCCGGGGTCTCAATCCTGTAGAAGCAGCAGGGCAGCTTTTTGAAATGTCTGCGGCGCGGAGGATTTTATAAACATGCAAGACGATATACTGTAAATCGTATCAATATCTCGTAGTTTACTATGTGTTAAGGACAACGGTCTAGACCTGCCTTCCAGGGGCGGTCAACTTCGTGCAAATACTCCTGTCAGATAATTCCTCACTTCCCTCGGGTCCGTGAATAACATTACCCCATGGATGCGTAGACGGACAGAAGAAAACAATATGTGGCCAGACGGGGCAGAAGGGGCAGAAGGGGCAGAAGGGGCAGACGGGGCAGACGGGGCAGACGGGGCAGACGGGGCAGACGGGGCAGACGGGGCAGACGGGGCAGAAGGGGCAGAAGGGGCAGAAGGGGCAGAATAACCGCCGGTAAAGAATTGGGGGGTTTTTTTTCTTTCGATGATTACGGAGTTTTCGCCGCTCTTTAGTTATCCCGACAGATGAATGACAGTATATATAAACCAGATAGAGATGAGTCCCTGGCAGCTTTTGTATTTCTTTATCGGTTTATCACGTGATTATCAACAGCCACAACGGGTGGCCTAGTCCGGATGGCGGGGTTGGGCAAAAAAAAGTCACCGATCGCGCCCGACCCCGACTATCAACTTCCATCTTGCCATCGCTTATCGGGCCCTTTGCAAATATTTGCGGACTTGCCATGTCATAGGTAAGGCCTGGTCTATCATATGTTGCTGGTGCAATTACTGACTGTAAGAGATCAGAACCTGCTGAAAACCCCTCCTCGCGCGACTTTCACCAGATATGACAGAAGCGGCTACAGAGCAAATGCTGGTGTGTCTGGCAAATTTTTCCTTCTGTATTTTGTGACCTAATCTTACTCGTTCAGGAGGGGCGATGGAGCAACAGTCTCACCAAGGAGGAAGGCTTCTTTAAGGACTGCAGGAAATGGGCTATTTGGTATATTGACGCGGTCGACTACGAGAGGGAGATCTTTTTCTACGACTGCAACAACATCGAGTTCAAAAACGAGAATATGGACACAATTTGGTGCACTACTGGAAGTGGTCGAATTACTTTTCTCCCGCGAAAGGTTGGGGTTTACATCAAGGAGGGGACATTCGGGATTTACACTGAGAATGGGACATTCAAAATCGGACCATAATGATATTATGTTGTGTCGTTGACTATACGCATAGCCAAATTGAATTCGATTCGCAGGCAGATGATTCCGCTATGCGGACTGCTACGCCGCACCTGCAGCATGACACAATCTGTTGTGTCATAAATCTGGTGGCTTTTCTCCCAAAGTCGCAGCTGACTACTTTCAATTGCATCACAAACACTTTGAGTGAATATAGAAGGCATGGCCTTCATGGATGCCCCTTTGATAGTAGAACGGCCATCCCTGTCTATATCGAAGAATCAGAATATTTCCTCAATTAGGGATAGAATCAAATCTCACCACCAATATCCGTCGTAAAATCGTTGCCCTGTTGTTGGCAGGCTGAGGTGACCCTGTTCGTGAATATTTCAGTTGAACTGTCTACGAGAGACGATAAAACCCCTGAGCTTGTTCTGGGAAAAAGAATGGCGGCGAAGTCTGTTGCCATTCCGATGTTGAGCCAAACTATGGCGTCCTGTCCAGGCCACTCGGGAAAGTTCATTCTTGCACAATTTGTGCGATTGATTGCCCCATTCGTAATCTCAACCATTCGGACCGGAGATCTTTCAATGGCTTCAATTATCTTGTTACCAAACTTATTCCGGATAAAATCCAGAGTGAAGTGATCGTATGCCCATTTATTCCCAATCTCTGCTCCCGTTGGAGGCGGCGGTGTTTGAGATAAAGCTTGTTCAGTTGTCATTTACTGTCCACAGGAAAAATAGGGCGAATATTTCTTACCTCGAGGGAAGTGAAGAAGCATCAATTCTCTGTATCGAGAGCATGTATTGATGCCTTGCCTCAGGGCTAATTCTTTGAATAATTCCATCGCATTGTTTCCCAAGAAGATTGCACCTCTGTCGCTGTGTTGTTGGCGGAAAGCCGATACATCAAACGTTCGACAGGCTCCAGGCGAAATGCACATGATAAAGGGAAGAAGAATATGGGGATCGATTTCGAATACTTCAAGGTACACATTGTGGGCTCTTTTGTTTTTTTGCTGTACCTTGGTCTCTTGGTTGGTGCGTCTCTTCCCGGGTGGTAGACGAGTAAAAGGCTTGCAATATATTGGTAACCGCTCTTCCAAGATCCCTTGAAAAGCTGTAGAGATGGTTTTGTCCTTAACAATAGCATCCCTCGTCTCATAGACACTGGATAATTGTTTGGGCATCATGGTTGACGTCTCACGCTCCGGCGTAATCTTGGACGAGAGAAAGGGGCAGAAGGGGCAGAAGGGGCAGAAGGGGCAGAAGGGGCAGAAGGGGCAGAAGGGGCAGAAGGGGCAGAAGGGGCAGAAGGGGCAGAAGGGGCAGAAGGGGCAGATGGGGCAGATGGGGCAGATGGGGCAGATGGGGCAGATGGGGCAGATGGGGCAGAACGTACTAGCGATCAAGCAGAGCGAGACGACTATGTTATGACTTGGAATGTGCGTATTGTTCCCAGGCGCTTATGATTGTGATAGGTCTTACCTAGCATTCCACTGTGGGGTGAGATGGGAGTATGTGCCCAGGCCAATATTCTTACTAGGTACGTCTGTCATTGGTCCATACTGCTTCCCAACATATAATATGGTTTCGTCGATGTAGTATGGGGCCTGTCCCCAGGTTTAGAGGTCTGTGCCAGCACTGACCAGCCGTGTTCCTGATCTACTCCGAGACAACACTTGCTGTTCATACCTCAGTTGGCGTCACCGCTCAGCTTCACATACGCAAGAGGAAATTTTCAGTGATAGCGTGAGCTGGAGCACTTGGCCTCTCTAGAAAATGGCTCAACTGGGTGATAGTAAAAGAGAACCGTGCACACAATAAACATATAAGTCTATAAAATCCTCCATCTTTCCCAGTTGAAAAAAGCACTATAAGACATCCCAAGTCTTTCAACCTTGATCTATCAATTTTCCGTCTATCAACTCCAAGCTTTCAAGTAAGTTTAGAGCCCATCACATTATTGAGCACCTTGAACGACTAATGGCAAATAGCAAAGTAATTTAGGATGTGTGAATTTTATTCAAAACAAGTCACGACGACCGATCCAAAGACCGGGAAAACGACGTACAGTACTGCTAAAGGCGATAAGAAAAGAGATTGTGGATTGAAATCTTGCCCTACGCACCGCCCTACTCAATGGTGTGTATATGGCTCTCAAGTCACACAAAGCTTCGCTGATAGTGATTATCTAGAGACCAATACCGCCAAAGGAAAAGTGATAGCGAGATGAATATGGATGATTAGGGACTTGTTTGCTCTGGCATGTTCAACACATGGCTATGTTCGGAAGTGGAACAGCCATCGCAGGATGAAGATGGATGATCAAGGACTTGTTTGTCTGGCATGTTCAACACATGGCTGTATTTGGATAGTCCAGTTATTTCCCTTTGTTAATTGAGACCTTGTCTAATTTGTCACCACCAAGACTTGATTGACAGTAATGAGGAGAAATACAGTCGCGTCACGTGATGCAATCGAAATGGGGAAACATGGAGTTACCTCTCTGTATTTTCCTTTTCTTTCTTCTCTTAATTTGAGATAAGTTGAAATACTTCCTTCTTCAATGGTGCTTTTATATTCATCCAAGTAGATTGATGCTCGTCTCATTATTTCGCGATAAATGAGAAAGCCAGTTGCTTCATTCCCATGGGACGCTCAAGGCATTTGTATCACTAGATGAAGTCGTGTGACCTTACGAACTCTCGCTTCACAAAAGAGAAACTTCATTCTGCCAGGAATATGGGTCTCTGGGCTTTCTAAGCAGAAAGAAACAGTCTTGTTCGCACCTCCAAACGAACTCCGACTCAACGCAGCGCCCTCTCCATTAAGTGGCCAAGATACCTAATTGACACATTGAGGCTATCCAGGGAGTACCTATTCATTTCTTGAACAAGCCCTCATTCATTCCTCTCAAATCAAGTTCTTTCCGGAGCTTCTTCAAAGCAAAATCATCATTTTCAAACTCCGCAGTGCAGATACCTTCAGGCAATTCGCCACGCTTGTCCGGGAGTGGATTTCCTTTAACGGCACACGAATCGAAGTCAATGATCACTGGCATGTCATGATCTCGGCATCTGAACATAACGTTGTCCAGGTGAATATCGTTATGGACAAGACCAAGAGCATGGAGATGATCGATGCCTGCCTTGATGTGCTGGAGACACACTTCCTGGTTGACCGAGCGCCCGTCCCGAAGGCGGTCCTCAAGCGTCTCCGCGTACTTTCGGAAGCAAAGCCCAGTAATCCGGCCGGCCTTTACCATGCAGCCAAGATAACCGGCGACGTTTTCATGTGGATTTCTCATCAAAATCTGACAGATTCGCGCTTCTTGAAGCAGGTATAAGCTGAGTGATGCTGAGCCGTCGTAGCCAGTGAGCCGGGGCCGCTTGATGTAGACGTCCGGCTTCTCAAAGTCGAGGCATTCTGTGAGATTATCTTCTAGCAGGGGCCAAATGTGCTCTAGCGGAATCTTCTGGAGGCCGGATTGGTCGATAACCGGGGGGAGATCCTCTGGGTGCGCAACTAGTTCGGGCACCTGGGCCGAAAAGTAGTCGTCGCCATCCTGGAAGATGACATTCATGTATAGAAATTCAGGGTTGCCATCGAATTCCCAGCGCTCTATCATAGAATGATAGTGCATTTCAATGAGATAACGGTGGCTTTTTTTTATTTTAGAGAACTTGGAAGGTGCGTGGTATGATGAACGCTGGATCATGAACACGGCAGTCTGAGCGACATAGCGTGTTTAAGTACTATTTTGGACGCTAAGCACGGACCCTGGCCCGCCATAGCCAACCATGCTAACAATCAAATTTTGGGTGGTACGGCATGAAGCGGTGAACAGTACTAATTGTCATTTATTGTGAATTGGGAAGGGGCGATTGAATTCTGAATTGGGAGTCACAGGTCTTACACTGACTTGGCGCTACACAACTGGGTGTCCACTTGGCACCGTCACATGCAGTGTTTTGGGACTCTGCAGAGCAAGCCCACTTTCTCATGGATTAGTGAAGATAAGGGGCTGGCATTGCGTATCCAGTGTGGACAAGGAGGCCGAACAGAACAAGATTGAGAAAGTATTATGACTCTGAGGCGCAACAGGCGGAGCACTACACGATGGCGGTATGTTACGGAAACCATATTTGTCTCATGTATCACAAATATTACGAGACTTACAAGTATTGTGGCTGGTCTGTCTCAAAACGGTGGCTGTGCAGATTTATCAGAAGAGCCGTAATTACCGTACGGGGAGAAATATTGAGCTTGTGTATCAAATACGGAACCAAAATCGCCACGACCCAGCTGATTCTCGATATGGTGCTATTAGACCACCGTAAAGTATTCAAATCGAGTCTCCAATTGTGATTGCAATTTTCACGGATTCAATAATATAAGGTTAGAACGGGCCTTCAGAGTGGAACTGAGTTGCTGGAGGTATGGGGTCAGGCTTTGACCGCTGGTGCAGGAATATTCATTAGTGAACCTGGCATATGAACTCCAACCAGCAACAATCTGGCATTCCCAAGTCATATATAGAAATATTGGTAGCAAGCTGCTTGAGTATCCGTCGGGCGTGAGTTTAGGGCTCCAATACGGAGCTTGGAGGCTGGGAAGCAGGGGGAGAAGGGGGGCCTTTTGTTGTCGTCTTAAATCTCAATAGATTAAGAATCAGGAGACAGCACCTTCACCCCAATTGATGCATCCTCCCTAGCCCACTCAAGACTTGACAGGAGAGTTGCTTGGTCTGACAAGTTAGAGCCAGAGGGCAAAAGGGTGCCTATAAGTCAGGATGGAATAATATAAACGAGGACCTACACACGCGACACTCTCCATAACCGTAATATGGCCGATAATAGGAAAGCCCCACGCGCCAGGGAAAATCCGGTACGTATAGGTACTTTTCATTTCCATTCGCATCCGTACCATCGTTCCACTCTCTTTCGGATCGACAGAAGCAACGCTGCAAGTCTGGGCCCTTCTGGGCGCCCGGGCCAGCACTGTACAGGCCTCCTATTAAGTGGCAAAGCTCATCAGCTTCAGGGACCATGCTTTTGAGCCGGTTGACGACTTATAGTGTGGGAGGGGCCATCGTTGGTATGTCTCAGTCGACTGAAGCACACGAGACTTGAAAGTGTCCCCGCATCTAGGAAGAAGAAGAGACAGAGCATACGCAAGTAGGAGTGAGTTTTAGTAGGTGGGTTCAGACCGGGGAGTTCAAGCACGGATCTTTCTCCTCTCAGATCTCAAGGAAGGTCATGTTACTAAATCCAGTCAGCCACAAGACCCCTGCGTAGTCTCTCGGGAACTACACTCCTTATACAATAATAGAGCCCACTTACATCTGTCATTGGGGCCTTCGGAACTTGTCGCGAACTCAGAGTTCAAGCATCAAGAATAAGTCAGACATGTCCTAACAATCAGTGGCTTAGAATGTTACCTCGGTATTGCCAACTGTCTTTATTTCGGTGGCATTCAGCAGTGCCGGACTTCGAAACTGTGAACTGCCTCATGCTATAGCATGCAATCGCCCTTCAATCTTTTTTCATCAACGATGAAAGGCGTCTGCTTCCATGTCTGGCTTTGGGATAACTTCCCACTGTAAGAAAGCTGTCATTGTCCTCTGCGGCATTGGAATAATCTGCATCATGATGTCACATTAGGCTTTGTTCGAACGGAATAGTTAGGTAGAGATAAACTTGGAATTTCGACGGTTTCGAAGCTTATGAGCAGTCTGAGTTAGTCCTTCAGGATAGCTTGGGACTGAGTTAACTGGCTGCGTCCGATTCTTGTCTATTCCGTAGCTAACGGATTTTAGATAAAATTCCTTCCAAATTATTTCGAGATGTTGTATTCCTATGGCCTGCCCTTCGACCTCATGAGTGATGCGCGGAGTCCCAGTCGCCTGTCCTGAAACATATGTTGCAACTTGTTTGTTTCAACAACTGCCAAAAATATTTCGTTTTCCATGGCCAAGGCTGCGCTTCTCTCCTCATTGAAGATGTTTTTTGAGGTGAGAAAACAGCAAGTCTAATGCAGAGAGCCTGTCAGCCGAATGTTTCAGTGTTGAGAGCTCCGAACTTTACATGCGACGCAAAGAGTTCCATCGTCGTATATATGGTATTTTCAAACGTGTGCAGCCGTTCTGCCAATAGTCCTCGCACTTCTATGTCGCGGGAGAAACAAGACAATATCGGTCCGATTCCTGCATATTATCGTTGGCCGAGCATTCAGTCCATTATCTGAGGGTGTCCTGGAATCTAACACATGCATTTCCGTTGCTCCAGGTTGCCAACCGAAGATGATATTGGATTTCATGACTGAGCGATTGACCCAATGCTGATGACAATTTCCCTAAAGCAGTGTCAATGGAAGACAATCGATGGCACAGTCCTGTTGTTAAAGCCTCGGTTGTACTTTTGGTAGCTTTGAGGTTTTCCAGAAGGGTGCAGACGCTCCGCTGCGCAGCTTTTGCGGCTTGGGCAGTGGGACCGGTAATACTGATTGGTTTGGCCATCGTGAGCGAAAGAAATGCCAGTCTGGAGTACGGTCAGTTGATGCGGAACAATGAGTGAATGAAAGCTGAACTGACTATTGTATATTCAAAAGCGGTCTTTGTGTTTGGTTAAGTAGTTTGAAGGTAGAGGAAAGATGAAGAGCATTATTTTCGGAGGGTGTGACTAGATATACATATATCTTTTTTCAAGTCATCACTCCAGGCGGAAATGCTAGGGGGAAGGGGGCGATGATTCGAGTACCTAGGATTCAAACAAAATAGCTTACAGGCCCTTAGGACACTGGTAATACAGCCTAGTGGGCTCCTGGGAATGCGCCGCGGGCTCCCAGGAGCTCTACACGATCCAAATGCCACATACGCTAAGATCCGACCCCACTGTTGGTGGTTTGTCTTCGGCTTACAACCTACTTAGCAATGGCGCGAAAGGTATGACGTTATACGTTCAGGAAAGCCTTCAGCTTGTGCGCTCATTGGCGAGAGAAGTGGTTCATCGTCATCACCTGCTGAACACTGATTCCTCCAGTTGTCTTGATACAGTGAGGGTTCTAGATCTTCAAGGAAATCCGTCCAATCGCCCTCGCCCTGGTAGTAGTCCAAAGCCCGATTAGGGGATCGCTGGGCTGTAAGCGAAGTATTCTGAGGGGTATTCCCAGGAGCATAGGCTGAAATGGGAAAATGATATGTCAGTTGAATAGCCCCACTGAGGTTTTTGACTTGGACAGGATCGAGACCGCTAGGACGAACGGTCGCGTTGACTGCGCCCGTCCTTTTTTGATGGGCGATCTAAATGGGAAGGACTGCACGTGATGGCACTAGCGTGTCGCATTTTATTGATGTAGCTTACTCAGGCCGCTCATCCCTACACTCAGTGAGCACTCAGTGAGCAAATCAGGGCACTCAGATGATGATCAGTGAGTGGATCAGGTTGCTCAGGGGATGATCAGTGAGCAGATCACATTGATTATATAACAGCACGTGATCATGTCAGGGTACTCAGGGACGTGCTCAGTTATACTCAGTGATCAAAAAGCGGCAAGGGGTGAGCACTAAAGCGGAAAAGGAAAGGTCTTGAGTGCCAGGCATTATCCGGTACATATGTACACACACAGATATATATAGTTGCTGAAGCCTGTATATCGCGTTGCGAGTTGATTTAACTACTAGACTAAAATACGAATCCGTGCCCAGCCTAGCGGTTTGTGGTATAGAATCCAACTCGACAAGGGGTCAGCATAAATGAATTACACACACACACACACACGCTGTAACAGAATAGGTCTATTTTGGCTGATACATGCTAGCCTCATCCGTCTATTTCCATTAACCCTATCTAGCATCCTTTCGCCTCGATCGTTTACTCTATATCTTCAAACAAGTCATCCACTTATATTTTCCTCAACCGCTGGGTCGTTAGAGGAAATGGTGTTGCAAATTTGAGGACTGCGTGACATTTGTTCCACCCTTCCTACCCGGGCGAAGCTAGAACTTGTGTACCGATACATGCAGTTTTATTATCGCAGAGAATCCAGTTTGCCTCTGAGCACAAGAGCCAGGCACATATCTCTCCCGAATTCCAACAAAGATTCAAGGGGATCCACAATCCAGTCCCAGTTCCAGTTTGGAAAATCAATCAGCTCGTCGAGTATAAAACTGAGCAAGGCTTCTTTGACCTCGTGGTAGTTAACCCTATTTGAGTATATTTCATGAATTAGGTAGGCGATGGACTGTCGGTTGACGTCGTTCCTGAGCGAGACGAAGATCAGTCCTATGGCATCCATTTTGAGTTCATCAATCTCCAAGTCAACAGCCTCGGCGAACATTCGCGCATGGAAGTACGGTAAGCTGTCGGTAAAATCTTGAACGGAATTGCCAGATCCGCCGGTGTATCTGCCCTTGTACAAGAACTCTAATACATTTTTCACCAAAATCGGCTCGTGCGCTTCAAGGCAAACCTCCCCAGAACCTCCCTAGAAAAGAAAATACCCCGTTAGATGAATTTGAAGAGATTGGCCCCGGATGGGGTAGCTCAGTGGTCATTGCGTTGGGTCACACCTCGAAACCGCCTCTGCAGGCTCGGACAAAATACCCTGACGGGGGACATATAATAGCTTTATGCGCTGGAAAGGCGTATTCACCGCATGTGAGGGTCACATCGCTGTACTTGGGATTGAGGAAAAATCTATTTTGCAGCAGCAAACAGTTTAGTGAAAGAACGTTCTTATTCATGCGGGGCTCGGGACTCTGACCCCTCAACTGCCTGTATAATGGCTTTCTGATTTTCCAAAACACTGAAAGCAATCATTGAATAGTCTATCGTAAATGCGGCTTGGCTCAGGGAAGTATACTGGGAGTTGGAAGATGCTAAATTACCCCTCTGAAGGACCGCCGAGGGAGGGCTCTCCTGGCAATGCTTTTCCAGCAAACCCGCCAATAGATGGTCTCGGAAGTTGGGCACTGCTTCAAGAAGTTTATTGTCAATTAGAGCATAGGAATCCATCATGAATCTCTTCAAGTTGGCCATAATGATGTTTAATGTTGGGCCTCTTAGCTCCCAATATTCCATCCTTGAATAAAGCTCTTTAATGAAGGCGATAAACTGAACTTGATCGAAGAGAACTCCCAAAGAAGCAATCAAGGCTCGCTCTGCGTGGCGTTTTAGACGGCCAAAAGACAGGTCCACAGCCGCTGCGTAAACAGCCAGGTGCAATATAGATGGATGACAGCCAGTGGAACGGGGGTTGAGATACGGAGAAGCCGACTCCGTTTCCGCTTTCGAGTAGTACTGGAAGTTCCGCCTTGATCACAGCCATCGGACTCAGGCTCTTCCAAACTTTCAATGGGAGGCGACCTGAGGGTATATTGACCCGTATATGCCAGCTCCAAGGCCTTTTTAACCATATCAGAGGCGGAACATTGGATCTCTCGCTGGGTTTCCTGAAGGACAGAACCCGATTAGTTTCCAAACGAACAAAAAAAGTAAGGCACGGAGATCGGGCAATCTCATTTATTACCTGTAGACAATGCAGCTGATCAAAGACAGCGTCAACGATAATTCTATGCCCTGGAAACGATTCGTTCCCACAGGTAATGGTCAAGTCACTATGAGCCGGGCTAAGGTAAAGGCTGTTTCACTTTAGCTTTCCTCGTTCAGACAAAGTTTCAAATTACAGACCTTTTTACTCTTTTGAGAACGAATTTCTCATACTCCTTGTGGTATTCCATATTCGACAATGCCATGAAAGGGATGAAAGCGCCGTAGTTGTGGCAAGAATGGCGGTTGGTTGGAGGTCTCCGCTGCACAGCGCTTTGGCGTGTTTGAGGAAGTTCTACCTAGGAGCGGGAAAAAATACCTCGCATTCAAGTCCTGTTACTTAACTTTGTTGAGCAGTGTGGTTGTACAGTCGTTCTCGAAATCGGCTTGACAGATACTCCCTTTATCACTGATTCTGGCCCCACCGCCAAGGCTTTAGCGCCGATCAAATATTGAGCAAGCCGCATTAAAAAAAATAAAAATAAAAACAGGCGACAGTTAAATGCTCCAGCATGGTCCTTTCTGTATTCTGCTACGTGTAATTACATTTTACTCTTTGATCGGTAAAGTCAACGGTCACTGTATACTTGGCGGCAGAACAAAAATGACATAATACTGCGGCCCTCACCTTGATGCGGCCCCCTCAATAAAATAAAATAACTTAAAAATCAATATTTAAGTTAGTATATCTATATATTTTTTTTGATAATATTACATTAAAGAGCTAAATTTGTTACCAAGTGACTTTTACGATGTCCATCAATTTGACGCGGCCTGCTGAATAATTGATCTGCGCTAAGGCGATGTTGAACACTTGAAGAAGTGCCTTCAAGCTAGTCTACTAACCCAAGAGGACCCACCACGATGCGCACAGTTGGGAGGACATACGATGAAAGGATCCATGCATGGGTTCGAAGGAGATACAGTGATATTCGAAATCAGTTTTACAGTAGAATTCGAAATCAGTTTTAACTCCACACTCTTGCGACTTGATTCGCGAACCCTAATCTGAAACACGCTAGCCCATATTTGGAATAGTGGTCGATCCATGATTTCCAAGAATAGACACTGTATTTTACATAACGCAGGTGGGTATAGTATACAAAGTATCAACGTTGCTATTCTTTTTGCCGTCCACTATTGAAGAAGGCTTGAGCTGACTCGTCCAACCTTTCGCTCATTGTTTCCCAGCTACCGGTCAGATAGTACCATACTGACGAAGAGTTCCCATGAAGACATTCTTAATCGGGGCGTATCCTTGGCCTTGTATAACATATTCGCTGGCTACAGCATCGGTGCCAGTGAACGGGACGTTCCATGTATACGTGTAACCACTCTGGGATTGAGGCGCGACACCGATAGAGGCCCACGTCCAATCCGCATTAGCCGTGGTGGTCTCGTACCAAGCGCCCGTATATTTGTAGAAGCCGGAGTAAAAGTCATTGCCTTCAACCATGTAGTTAACGATCTCGTGGTGCGCAACACCTTGAGCGTCCACCTCTGGCACCTGAATTGGCCACCCGCTGCCGATTCCAACATCGGGTTGTTTGATGCCGATGAAGAGCCGCACAAATGCGTAGGGCACTAGGATATCGGCTTTGTAGACAACGGTGTCGCCATTCTGTGTATAGCGAACATTGGCGATTGGACCGTCGGCCGGTAGGCTTTTCGTGCTCGCCGAGATCATCCGGGAGGAGCCACCCCCACTTCCTGAAGCTAAGACCGTCCGTACCTCAAAGGAGATACTAGAGGATCCGGGGTCGAGCATGCCGACCGTAGCTCGGGTTAATGAGGCTGGCAGTTCCAGTACTATGGTACCGTCCTTATACACCGCGTAGCCAAGAGCACTCGCGACCGATGACCAGGTGAGGGTGACTGAGCTGTAGTCCGAAGAGAAGACGGCAACGTCGCTTGGAAGACCAGCAACATAGGAGCTAGTAGCTGTAGCTAGGTCATCAATGGGAGGCGTGCCACCTGGTACGGCGCCGATAAGTGCTTGCATATAAGCCTCGCTGGGTAGATTATCATAAGGGTTGGGTTGGTCATCATCGGTGATTTCTAGTAACCCTGCATGGCGGCTGGAGGCAAGAGCAGCAATAGTCGCAATCTGATCCTGTGGAACTTTGTAGATGATATGCCATAACTTTCGAGGATCCTTTGGCGTCCAATCATTAGGTACATATGAGCTTGTATAAGTCTCGTAGCTGCTCTCGAATGTTAACAGCGTATCCATAGTATCTTCAAAGCATTGAGCTATTGGCGAGCCAGGATTGAGTACTGTATATGCGCCGGGGTGTTTTCGCTTCGTATAATTGTTGATGTATGCGTATAGATCTGCGTAGATATTGTTGGGACCGCATTCTGGCCAGCCTTCATCAAAAAAGATACCGCCGAGGCTGGTGCCATAGAGCTCGAACCACTTGTCGATATCTTGTTCAATTTGCGAACTCCAGTCTGCGAGATCATGCGAGCCCAGTCGAGTTGTAAATTGTTGTTGACTCACGCCAAGGTAACCAGTCCGAACATAACCGAGGATCTTTTTGCCTTGACTCGCTGCTTGATCAATCACCGATTTCCAGGATTCATCGACCACATAATCTGGTCCGTTTAAAACATTGGCAACCAATACGCTGACCTTGTTAGTGTCGTATGCAAGGAGCCGTCCCCATGAAGCCGAGTCTCCGAGGGGGTTAATATAGGACGCAATGGCGATCTGCTGGCCGGCGTCCCCTCCCGAACCTGAATCCGAAACCCCATCCGTCGAGCCCAGCTCCTCTATCCAAGTCGAAACTTGCTTGTTATAGCTATCTGGGTAGTCGGAAGCTGGGACAAATCCATCAATACTTAGAGTAGAGCTGGTTGCGCTCACGACTAAATCGTCATCACAGCCTGGATAGTCTCCACTCCAGACCGTAATATCGTCGTCGGACGTAGTGTTCAAGTAAAAGTCGCTGCCTTCTGTAACAAATGAGGCGAGGCTACCCGGGTGTGGGGGCCCGTCGATTTCGTATGTAACAATGGGTAGATGAGGATATATGCCGCCATTTTTGGTCATCACGTATTTAGCCAATGCATAATATGCCAGATTGTCGGCGTTTCGCTGAACCCAGAATCCAGCAGTTCCCACTGCTGAATTACCTTGCCAACGAGCTAGTACTTTGGTAGCCAAGGGACCGTATGCCGGAGTGTCAAGGATTCCGTTGCGGCCAAATTTGATTTTGATGTTGAGGTCAAGGACAGAAGGATTAGGATCTGGAGAGTTGGCAGCCACATTTAAATGGAATAACTCATGCTGATCAATTTTGGTCAGTTCACCAGATTTGTAGAGTCAAAACCTTTGATCTAGCTCACCAAAAATAGAGCTCCTCTGTTATCATAGTTTGAAAGTTTTGCTTTTTCTGGGTATCTGTAAGCATTTCCGAATGAAATTGCGTCTGCCAGACTTCTGCGAGTAAAAAAGCCTTCGCATAAATTGATCATCGGATAGCTGGGAGAATCTGGGTCAACGTTCGTCGCATACGCAAGTAGTGTTGTCTTTGCTTTAGCCTGGCCATCACGCTTGGATGAACTGGAATGTATCAGTAATATCACTTTATACTTATTTCGGATCAACAGAAAGACAGGGCGGCAGTACGTACCTGGATTGACACGGATCATCTTGATTGGACTTTGGGCATATATTTGATGGATCATCACATCGAATCTTGATCCAATGCGGGAAGGGATTTATGTTACTATAGATGACCGTTGCCGTATTTTCAAAAACTGCCTGGATTTCAGATTGCTGGTCTTTGTTCGTCGCCGGGGCACCCAGAAACTCCAGCGCAGCTGCGTTGTTCCAGTCGATATTTGAAACCACTCCTTCAGTGCTGGAAAGTACGATGACGATGTCAGTCTATTTCTTCTCCAGATTATTTCGCAGGAACCAGGATCGATATGAAAACTGGGGTACGGGGACAGCTCATGCCAACATAGACAGGATAATTACAAGAGATTGACTTACTTGGATAACAGCCATGCATCATAATAGGCGTCGTCAATTTTGCCTTTAGCCCCTCCGCCGAAGTTCTTTTTGCAGTCAACATAACCATAGAGTTGGGTTCCAATAAGGTTCTCAGGTGAAACAGTGCCAGTTGCCTGGGGAGCATCAGTGCCGGTTGGAATCACTTGGTAAGGAGTCTCATCGCCTAAATCGGTAGGCGTCGCAGCTGAAGTGCACCTTAGCAGCAAGAAGAACGTTGTCAAAGCTGCAAAGAGAACCATGCTGACGGGCTGTATAGAGCGAAATTCGGATGCAATCCAGCGAAAGGAAAAACTGGAAGGATATTATATACTTGATCTCTGAACGCTTCCTCGACATAGCGGTATATCACCGACGGCGCTCATAACCTCGATTGGATAAAACTCCGAAAATTTAGTAGATTAGCATGCTAGTTGGATTGTTCCTACTTCATCTCATTTCCAGCTCGGTTAGAAACCGAACAGCAAAGGATTACACTAGTGTACCCGACGGCCGAGTGAAGATATTTCAACCGTTTACTTCGGATTACTTCGGATGCATTCAAGTTGCGCCTTTTGCGGGCGAGCGAGGTCAAGTCTCACTCTTATTTCCCTAATTCAACGCCGTGGATCCGGCAGAATCCACATCCCTGCTTAATAACATGGTCGAAGCATCACGATGCCGCCAGGAATGGAAGTCGATATTTAATGAGAACGAACCAACCTCGGTCTATGGACATGGTCCGCACTAATTGGAAGGAAATAATTAGTTAGTGTGACCTTGATTACTGCAATCAATTTATTTTGGAAATTACGATATTGACCGGCCTATTCAAACTTGGACTACCTAAGAAGGTGGGGGCGAAGTAGCAGGCCAAAAAGAGGATAATCCTGTACGTAACCTGCTACTTCGCCCCCACCTTCTTAGGTAGTCCAAGTTTGAATAGGCCGGTCAATATCGTAATTTCCAAAATAAATTGATTGCAGTAATCAAGGTCACACTAACTAATTATTTCCTTCCAATTAGTGCGGACCATGTCCATAGACCGAGGTTGGTTCGTTCTCATTAAATATCGACTTCCATTCCTGGCGGCATCGTGATGCTTCGACCATGTTATTAAGCAGGGATGTGGATTCTGCCGGATCCACGGCGTTGAATTAGGGAAATGAGAGTGAGACTTGACCTCGCTCGCCCGCAAAAGGCGCAACTTGAATGCATCCGAAGTAATCCGAAGTAAACGGTTGAAATATCTTCACTCGGCCGTCGGGTACACTAGTGTAATCCTTTGCTGTTCGGTTTCTAACCGAGCTGGAAATGAGATGAAGTACAGTGGCGCAGCTCAAGTCTGCCTCGGTGTGATACCCTGGCCCCACTGTTTGTTGAGGAAAAATACAAGTGTATAGTGCTAATGCCAAGGTTACTGCCCAATCAGCTCAAGGAAGCTTCCCCCAATTTCTACATATTGAAACGGTCATCTGCATGACCCTGAGAGCGCTCATGAATCTCCGAGGTCGACTCACGTGATACACAACACCGTTCTTATCCTTTTTGTAGCCTTATTGAATGAAACATGAGGTTTAGCAGCATGCTGGTCGCCACAATCTTTAACTTTCTATCGACTTTCTGCCAACAAATCATTGGCTGCTCACTTCCCATCGAAATTTCCTCTATTTTCCCTCAACAAACAGTAATGCGCGACTCGAGGATCTTCGCACCAATAGGCCCTGCTCTATCGACGACTGAACGGACTGTCTTCGGCCCCCTAGGATGCGTTGTCTACGGCTACCCCTCCACTGGCGGGGTTCTCATCAAAGAGGCTGCTGACCTGGTCGACATGCTGTTCCTATCAGTCTCCCGCTCCCATGCATCACAGCGCTCACCCAGTGTCGACGAAGAAGACCGATTCTGTTATCTCATGCGACGCACTGGTGCGAAGTTCTGGCCGAGTAAGGAGGAGTGGATCGAAGTGAAGATGGAAATGAGGGATATCACGGAGGAAGAAGAAAAGGTGATGATGTATGGTTGGCCGACGAATGGAGTGGGTGTGTGGGTATTGAGGTATGGGAGTGCCAGTCAAATGCCCCGAGATTTTGGGAGAATGAGTTTTGCGATGAATATGGATGAGAGGATACAGATTATGAGAGAGTATGGCGCTACGTTTGTTGAAGATGTCACGCAGGTGGAGGAACTTTGTGATGGCTCGTTTTGAGGCCTACTAGTCTTGGGATGGGTACTTGTGGAGAGGAATTTCAATATGCTACATGCAGTGCCATGGGAGGCTCAGGCGACCTGGAGAGCGACCGCGGCCCATAGCATCATGAGAGCCGTAGCCGTTTCAGCCCTTCAGAACCTGAGATAAGCTCTCGTCAAGCAAAATAGAAACATCAAGCTCTGGGATGCCCAGACCGGCGCGGAGCTGCGAACCCTTGAATAGACATCGCCACGGCCCATGAGGCCCATGGACCATCAAAAGATTAAATATAGAAATCCCCGTGACTTGCACAATTTATGCGTATTCTGCCTGTATTTTATAACGTTGAATTGTATCCTGTGGACATGGATTTCTATTGAGTTCAAGTTGTGGAAAATTTGGTGCTGTATGGCAATGTTTATCAAACATTCTACGCCTTTTGATGGGCCATTGTTTAACCCCACATAGGCTTACACTGGGTGCCACCCAGTTCTATCATCACACGTGCAAACCGCCCATTACTCTTGAATCAATCAACAAATTGGTCGTTTCCAATGTTTGACTTATCTGACATGTTTCATTGGGCAGTATTTTCACCCTCCATACAGGCCCTGGAGCTAGGGCTCCACTTGCAGCCATTCGTTGAACCTCTTGACGATAAATTGCGGCGACGCTTGGTATTGATCCGTCGCTATAGAGATTTTTGAGATTGCGCACAGCTATTACTTAGCCACGACAAATCCAACCTAGTACAAAGCAGCAAGTACTTTCACAAGACTGGTTATGAAACAAAGCAGCTCTAGACAAAGACCGTTGTTTCTCGGGGGGCAAAATAACGTGTGATTGGTCTTTTTTACTCCTTTCTCCACCTTGGAGTAGCATTGAATAACCCCAAAATAACACATTGAAACCCACACCGCCGGCCAAGAAGCTTGCAATATCTTTGATCGACGCAGCCTAAAGTACAAGGGTCATGGGCATGTATGGAGAATAGCCAGGACCTACAGCTCCCAGGAGTCATTAGTCGGTTGACGCGCCCTTGACTGTAATGTCTCATGAAACAAAAAACCATCAGATTCTCTTTATCACAGGACAAACCACGATTTCCAAGAACCATGATTGTCTCCTGAAGCCAGGGATCCTCTGATTATCGCCATCATAGGAGCAACCACGGATTTTTCTGATAATCTAGGACCTTCGGGAGAGCGTACACATCCTTGAACAAGGTATATCATAGGAAATACCACGGTTTGCGTACGCTTTAGTATCTTGCGAACCAAACGATCATCCGATTATCTATATCATGGGAAAAACCACGGTTTCTGCGAGCTCTGACCCTCTCGCGAACCGCATTGCTATCGTAAGAAATATCACTTTCCTTCAGCAATTCCGTGCTCTTCCCATGAAAAAAGCCCCCGTCGGACTATTGGCGTCATGAGAAACACTACGATTTTCGTCTGTCTTGATAATCTCACAAATCAATTCAGGGGACAATTTTTATCCCAAGATATACCACGACTTCCGCAACCTCAAAAAATTGATTTTGCCTCTCAGTTACTGTAGATACAGTTCTTGATTTGTTATTCAAACCGTACTGTTGCCGAGCTGGCCTCTACAGGCTGGGCCCTTTTGAGTTATAATTGATCCTAATGATGGAATATAGTAGTCAAGTTCTAAGCATGTCCTAAATAATTTGAAATTTTTAGATCTAAGACATAAGACTGTGCGGGTCTCAAACTCGAAGGGGACGTTGGTGGGCAGTCTAATAGCCTGGCAGGTCTTGAGACCGCGGTCTTGGAATCTGCTGGGTCTCTTGCTATGTGTCTACCGCCCCCGGGTCGGTGCCACCCGATGCCAAATATTGGGTCTAATATCCTTGGTAACCTTGTGGCAATGAACCCTGGCCCGATTTGACCATCCATCTTCTCGGGCCGTAAGTGCGACCGCGCAGAGACATGGCATAAACGGTTTCATGCAGTTGATTTTGCGGGGGTCTAGGTATCAGGGGAGTGTGCGGATAATCACGTTTTATTGGGCTAGTGGCAGTACTTGACCACCGCACTCTTGTCCAAAAGGCGGCGTCCTTCTCACCGGCCATCATTTCTTACTTTTCACCACTTTGATGTGGAAAATATCAGGTTCTAACCTCGAACATTACAATAGTAGTAGTAGTAGTAGTGTTCATTTACCCTGTCCCCTCGCGAACGATATGCAGGATACAACAACTATATATCCGAGTATGTACTTTTAGAATGATCCACTTTCTGACATGAACTTAGAGCCTCGTCACGGCCTACCCTGGCCCATTGCCGCTCCCGCTGTTAGGCTGCCCTTGTGGCGCACGACTGCGAAACCTCTGTGACGCCTCGGCGAAGTCCAATACGGCCTGAACCGTCTTCGCCCTCGAGACGGTGTCTGGATTACCTCTCTCACCTTCGGTTGAGCCTCCCAGCAGACTCGACACGCTGTTCAACGCGTCCCCAACACTTCTTCTTAATTCTATCCGCAACTCTCGTAGTTTTGGACATTCCAGCAACACGTGGCTGACCGTCTCCTGCGCGCCGCACTCGCATCGATCATCGTCCCGGAAGCCAAATTTCTTGGCGTACGTGGATAACCAGTTGTGGCCCGTGCGCAGCTGAGTGAGCAGGTATGCTCGGTTCCTGGGCAAGCTTCCGTACATTTTCCTGGTGTACCTCGCTGGTAGCGCGCCGTCCACTTTCCGTAGGTGCGCGCCTTTGGTGCTTGACTTCCACTCCTGCTCCCACTGAGCATGGGTCTTGCTGCGGAGAAAGGCGTTCTCTCTCGTCAGCAGCGGCCGGAAAGGATGGGTTTTGCCCGGTTGTGCGGCTTCTTTGGCGAGTCGATCCGCGGTCTCGTTCCCGACGTTTCCACAATGTCCCGGCATCCACTGGAGACGGAGGGCAATATGCCCTGCTTGAACCTCGGTGGCTGCTTGGAGGATTGCATGGATGATTCGTTGCCCTGATCTATTTCTCACGTTCTGGATTGCCTGCAAAGCGGATCTGCTGTCACAAAGGATTGTTGCTGTTGTGTGCATATGGACTCCGACGCTTGCCCGTTGGTGAGCCAACTTGAATACCGTGCTGACCGCGTAGAAGATGCCTATGAGTTCCGCTACATGAACCGACCACCGTTCCATCGACCCCACTTGCACCTGTTGGGATTCCGTCACCTCATCATTGTCGTTTAGGGCCACGATGGCGGCTCCTAGATGACCCTCACGCCCGGAGGCGTCTGAGTAGACGACGATGTCTGACGTGTCCTTTGCGGACACCGCCCTTTCTCTCGCTGTCTCTCGGTCGGGTTCCAGCTCAATCTCTGTGAAGGCGTCCTTTCGCCACGGTGGTAGCGGGCGTGGGTCAATCATCTCCAGTTCGTTGAGCCTGTCAACGTCCATGGTCTTCAGCGCTTCTGCTAATGGGAAGCGGGCGTATGATCCGACATTGTTCCTACGGTTCTGGGCTCTTGACAGAGCACTCCAAATGGGATGGTCGCGGGGTAGAGTGTGCAGTCTCGCAATCGTGCGCTGCGCTCGGTGGCGAAGGCGAAGGTGTGTGGGAAGTATATAGGCTTCAACCTCTAGGGTCGCGGTTGCTACCGTCCTGAACGCCGACAGGATTCTGATCAGCACGTTTCTCTGAACTGTGTTCAAGTGTCGGATGTGAACTTTGTCCCTGAGCGGGTCATGCCAGACCGTCGATGCGTAGTCCACTATAGGCGCGACACATGCCTGGTAGAGCTGTCGCATCTGCTCTGGGCGCAAGTGTCGTAGTCCACTTAAGGCGATTGCCGTTTTGGTGGCGCGCTTGATAGCCTGCTGGACATGCTCCTTCCAGCGAAGTCGCTGGTCGAACACCACCCCCAGTAATTTGGCTGTAGGTGATGGCTTGACGTCGGTCCCATCGAAGATGATTCGTCCTTCTCTATGCTCTCCCTTCTTTCTGGTGAGGTGGATAAGCTCGGTTTTCTCCGCTGCGAAGCAGGATCCAGTTCTCCGCGCCCACTCTTCGATACGAGGGACATCCTCGGACTGTATCTTGGTCAAATTTTCCTCAACTGAACTCCCCACTCTCCATCGGAAGTAGTCGTCAATGAATGCCGATGCACCTCCCTGGGAGTCGACGGGCTGGTCGACTAGGTCGGCGTTGAAGAATGCAAACAAGATGGGGGAAAGTGGTGATCCTTGAGCTAGCCCAGCGTTCACCAGCGGAGCAGTCTCAGTGCGGAAGTCGTCAAACCCAATGTTGGCGTGCCGGTCGCTCATGAAGCTTGCAATCCATTTTCTGGCCACAATCGGGATCCGTCTTGCCTGCAGCGACGCATCCAGGCTTGTCTTATTGACTCCGTTGAAGGCACCTTTGAGGTCGAAGGCGATTAGGGTCACCACCTTGTGCTTGTACCAGGCTTTGTCGATCGCACTGGATAGCACTAGTAGGGCTTGCTCGGTGGTCCTACCCGGCCGTCCGCCGAACTGGCTGTTTGGTAGCAGGCTGTGTTTCTCCGCCACATAGGACAACCGTCGGGCCATCACTGCCTCCAGGAGCTTGCCAAGTGTGTTCAAAAGTGAGATTGGGCGATAAGCACCAGGGGCCGAGTAATCCGGCTTGCCTGGTTTCCGTAAGACGATGATTTTCGCGCTCCTCCACTGTCTCGGGTGGTGTCCTAGCTCTATACACACTGCGAAGATGCTCACAATAATGGCCTTTAGATGCTTCCAAAGCTTCTTCCAGACCAGCATCGGTAAGTTATCTTCCCCGGGTGCAGTATTCCCTTTAGCTGCTTTCAGTGATCGCTCGATCTCCACTTCAGTAATCGGATGCCACTGAAGTTCTGTCTCCGTTGCGGTGGGTGGGCTGATTTCGGGTGTGTTCATGGCGGGGAAGAACGCATCCATGAATGCCCTCGCTTTGTCTTCATTTTGGGTGCAATCGTCCGAGCCCACTCGCAATGTTGGGACACAACCCCATGTCTCTCGGGGCTTCATGTATGTCGCGGCCTTCCAGAGCTTCCCTTCACCAGCTTCGTCTAGGAACTGCTTCCAGTGCGAGGACTTGGCCTTCTCGATGGTCCTCGTCCACGCTCGTCGTTTCTGCTGCATAGCTTCGAAGGCAGCCGTGGTGTTAGCGTGCTCTCTTCCCAGCTCGGCGCAGTTTGCCTGCCACCTCCTACGCAGTTGGTTGACTTCGACTTGTTGGGTCTTAAGATCTGGCGTGAACCATCGCTTGGAGTATGGCGTGGGGCGTGTGTCGGGTGTGAACCGGTCGACCGCCTGGGCCGTCGCCGCTGTAAGGTTTTCCACTACCCGGTCGAGTGTTGGCCGAGTCTTGATCTGCTTCCATGGGTTCATCTGTCGGACTACTTCTTCGCCGATTCTCGCCCAGTCCGCGCGCTCGTACGCCTTCCTGGCTTTTGTGCTTGGCTTGCTCTGAGGTTGTAGGCTCCATTCTGAGTAGGTGGCACGGTGGTCTGATCCGTAGTTCTCGTGATACAAATGGCATTTGACGAGCAGGCCTGGGTTGTCTGTCACTGTCTGGTCGATGGTCGAGTTCTGTCCTGGATAATTTAGGGCCCAGTAAGTCGCCGTTCCCCGAGGGAGGCAACTGGAGAGATTGTAAGTTTGGAAGAAGGTGATCAGGTCGCTGGCGTCTTCAATAAATCTGGGTGGGATATGATTGCCGCCCCACATCGGATGATGCCGATTGAAGTCGCCCGTGATAATGATGCTTGTAGAGCGTTGCTCGTTCTGTACAGCGGCTGTGATGGTGTTTGCTATTGCAGTGCGAACATTACAATATGGATCGAAATCAGTTTCACCACTTCTTCATAGAGATTCTTTCTCGAACCCTCTGTCGAAACACACTATACCTATTACGGTTACTCTTCCCCTGAACCCCTTTCTTGGCAGTATTCCGATACAATCATAAATAACAGCTTAAAATAGCTTCTGTATTTGACTCGTATGGTCTCCAGGGATTCTAGAACGTTGATCTAGCAAACAAGCCAAACAAACGAATGCCTGCAGCTCATTTGGAGACGTGGCAGGAATTAGAATCCCCATTCTGCCAACCACTTGCCCTCTGGAGTGACCACTGTGAACGAGCGAGTTGTATAGAGACAGTACTAGTGGGTAATATTTTTTGCTTCTTGTAACAGGCTTGGCCTTCTGATTGGGGACTAGCATCTCCTGAAGTGACTGGTCGTGATCATGCTGATGTTGGATCTGCTAGAGCCTTGAAACGAGCACGATGACTGCTAATTCGTGTCCTAATGACCATGATTCTCAGCCGCATGACCTCGAACTTGGGGATCAAGATTCGCAATATGCCCCCACTCCAGGATTCTATGGTCGCACGCCTGCGTCAAGTTATGGGCGCAGCCCTTCCCTCGACTATCACTTCGAAAACGATCCGGAAGTCCTGTCACAACAGCAACCACAACCTCCTCGACTACTTGAGCTATCCGAATGGTATGAGGGAATGTCAAGTAACGAACTGCCGGCAAACTGCATCCAATATACGATAGAGTGGAAAGTCACCGTGAATAAGAAAGTGCTCTCGCGGGACACTGAAGAGGACGTAGCCCTGACTCCGAGTGCCTACTGGCCGACGACCCTGAAGGGTAAGTTGGAAAAGTTGTTAGATGGAAAGACCCCCGGTAAAGGAAGGGTAAAGTCGGACGACACCTCGATCGTCGTATCGGTGAATAATCGCTCCCAACGCGACCTGACGAAACGATTTGACCATCTCGACATCGATTGGACTGCCGTGGAAAAGCAACTGCTCAGGTGGGGCGAACTGTGCCGTCGAGGCAAGAAACTGAGGTTAAGTATTACGTTTAAATATGTTGAGGACGACCGTCTCTCCAAAACTGCCTCAGGTAGGGTCGAAAAAAGAGGAAGGTCATCGGTCACTAAACGGATGCTCAACGAACTAGACGTTCAAGTGGATGCCGAAGAGAATTCATCTGGGCAAGAATCCGTTTGGCGAGCTGTGTACACCCTGATGCGTTGTCCTTCTTCATCATGCCATCTTGGCCCACATTGCTGGCAAGACCCACACGGGAAAAAGCACTACGCGCTGAGGAGCCACCATTTAAAACGTTTAATTGCCTTTGTGGAAAAAGGCAACACCCTGCAGTCTCATGAAGACGTCCCGGAAATCTTTCGTGAAGAACTATTCATGGAAGAGCAGCAGCGGCTGGAGAACCAACAATCCAAGAAAAAAAATTTGTCCAGTATCCCAGGAAGTTATCCCATCAATATACATTTTAATGGGGTGCAACCTTCCTCTCAATTGGAGACGCCCGGATCCTCCGCATCCCCAGCAATGCCTTCGTCACCAAAGGCCCAAGTCAATGACGACTTCAATATTCCTGGACTTCGAGATGTTGCGGTCAGAGAGTATAGCGCATGGCATGAGGCAAATGTCGCTGATGACCATTTAAAAGCTCAGTTTCGTCAAGCATGCGATATCGCACTGGCGAATGGTTTCGATCTTCAGCTAATCTACGAGGACCAAGATCCGTCATTCTTTATCGATCAAGGGATCATGGTGGGTATTGCCCGTCAATTCGTAAGAGATGTGGTGAAATGGGTCAGAAGTATGAGGAATATTTCGTCGATTGAGTGTATATAGATAGTACTCTAAAGAAGCATACAATAGTGGCTAGGAGAATCGCGATATTTGTTATTGAACTACAGTACTTGTTTCGAATATCTGCTTCAGAATATAAATAGGACACAACGGTAGACGGAAAATGAGTAGAGCCTCAGGTGGGTTTCATTAGCAGTCCGTAGTACATATATATATATATATATATGTGACGTTCCTATATCGCTGGTCTAGTCATTGAATTCTGAGCCTGGATATCAACGCCAGAATGTCTAAAATGACCCAAAGCACTTTGTTTTCGAGACCCAACAACCTCAATACACCAGTCGAAGAAGGGTTGAAACCCTTGTTCTGAGTTTTCCTTATACCGTATCCAGTTCCGTCTAATGAATGCTTTCAACTCCGAGAAAAACTCCTCGATCGGATTCAGGTCGGGTGAGTACGGTGGCAGATACACTAGCTTAACTCCTGCTGCAGTGCACATTGCATCGATACGATCAGAACGATGAAAAGACGCGTTGTCCATGACTAGAACGGACTTTGGCTCAGGCCATCTTCCACAATGCCTTAGAAGCTGATTAATGAAGTCCTCAAATAATGCAGCGTCGGTGGAGCCCTGGAAAACACGAGAGAGTACGATTCCATCTTGGCAATACGCAGGCAAGATCTGGTACCGTTGGTCGCGGTGAAATTTGGCTACCTGCAATGGCGCTGTGCCTAACGGAGACCAACCTGTCCGTCTAAACCCGATCCGTTTATCACATCCAGACTCATCCACATAGACTAAGTGATACGACTTAAAGTCCGACAGATAGTGCAAATAGGAATCTCGTAAATCCGCATTCTGTTCCTTTGCTCTCTGTCGAGCCACCTTCTTCGACCAATTTACCGATGCGAGAGCCCGCTTGAGGCTCGAATTTGTGACCTGAACACGGAACTCGTCTCATAGAAATATTGCCATCTCGTCCACGTATAGCCCGGGTTTTTCGAGGAGGCGATCACATAGTGCTTCTATCATCGGAGGTGTGATGCTTCGTCGTCGACCGACTCGAGCTGGGGGTGCTCTGACATTTCCGAATCGGCGGAGGTTATTGCTGATGTTGATTATAGAACGCTTACTACATTCAGCAGCTTTAGCCATTTGCGATGTAGTCAGCGATTTGCTTGATATCATGTTCTGGACCATTTCGAGCTTGGAGAGAGGGAGTCTTGGCGCCATATTGCGAAGAGAATTCTGGACGTTGACAGAGGAGAGCTTTAGGAGGGCGACGGGGGTGGGGAGCGACTCTATCTGCTCACCTTTGCTCACCCCTTTGCTCAGTGAGCAGGTGAAATAATTTTGGGTGAAAAGCCTGGGGGATGCTAGGTATTAGGATATGCACGTGATATAACGATCTCGTAGTCCCTGGGAGCCTAGCAGCACATCTCAAAGTTGCGGACCTCAGAAAAAGATGATTAAACAAAATGGCACATCATCCCTCGGTTATGTTAATCACCAACTGTGATCCAGCACTTCTTAAAATGTGCACTTTAATTGCTAGAAAGCAGTGACCTCTTCAAGCGATGAGGGTCAGATATTTTATCTGGAAAACGCGGGCTGGTCACAGTAACAGGGCCCTCATTCGATCTGACTTTTGGAATCGGGTAGACCCGTTCCTGGGAACGTCATTACCCGCCCCCACGTGGAAGTGAAATCGACACAAAACCATTCAGAAAGCGGTGTGGGCAAGCTGAAAGGTGCAATTAATCTTCCTAGCTGATCGCGCTAAAGTCACATGATGACGAGGCTGAGGAAGTTCCCCCTCTTTCAGTTCGTTGGAGTCCCACTGAGATTCTCGTAATCAACCACATTAGAACTTTCTGAAAAGAGCTACTTCTTAGTGTCTTCTGCTGGAAGAGAAAGTGCTTGATTAACACATCGCGTGGTTAGTCGAGCTGTTCTTCATCCATTATGGCTGAGAATTCCCAATCTCAGCCAGAGCAATCAGTGTCAGGACAGAACAAAGCTAGTCCCGACACACCACCATGCCGAAAGCGACTCCAACACGATGCCTATACCATCGGATGGGTGTGCGCCCTTCCAAAAGAACAAACAGCAGCCAGAGCCATGCTAGATGAAGAGCACGAACCTCTCCCGACCCCTTGAAATGATCATAACGCATATACTCTTGGCTCGATACGCGGCCACAACGTCGTCATAGCCTGCCTACCTAACATGGGAACCAATTCTGCCGCAACCGTCGCGACCTCAATGATCAACACGTTCCAATCAATCAGGTTCGGGCTTATGGTAGGGATTGGCGGCGGAATTCCGTCAAAGGTCAGTCTGGGTGATGTGGTGGTCAGTCAACCTGTTGCTGACTATCACGGGGTGATACAATGGGATATAGGGAAGCTGGAACGGGATAGGCGGTTTGTCCACACGGGCTCGCTGAACCGACCTCCGAACGCGCTACTCAATGCCTCGAACCAGCTGAAAAGTAACCATGAGATGTACGGATCAAAGATAAATGAGTACCTGGACGATATGGAAAGGAAATTCCCGCGGCTAGCGCCAAAATATACGCGGTGTGAGGCCTTGCAAGACCCATTATTGGTATCCGAGCGGTTCCGAACTCCGAGGGAAGTCTATTTCCTGTCTTGGTTGTGGCAGGCGATCATCGCGATTATCGCATATCTTCTTGGTTCATGGGCAATTAATCCGGTAAATGAGGAGAATGTGCGGGTATCAGAGAAGGCAGAGGGTGCAAGGGCCCCAAGAGATGTCAGGGTACACTATGGCCTGATCGCATCCGGGAACAAAGTGATTAAGGATGCCTAATCCCGAGACCTCCCTGACAAAAAATACGGCGGGCACTTACTATGCGTGGAGATGGAGGCAGCTGGGCTCATGAATGACTTCCCATGTATTGTTATCCGAGGCATTTGTGACTACGCGGACTCGGGAAAAGAGAAAACATGGCAAGAATATGCGGCAGCCGTGGCCGCTGCGTACGCAAAGGAACTTTTGGGATGTGTGCAGCCTAGTGTTGTTGATACGGAGGATACAGCAAAGGCTATTTTGGAAAAGGGTCAGTATATACCTACCTGAATAGATCGTTTGCAGGTGTCCAAATACCAGCAAATAACCGAGACGAATAACATTTGAATTTGGAAATATATTCTGACTGCGAGTGGTGCGAGTAGTGCAACTGCAGATCGATAGCATGCAGCAGACAACAGCTGCAACAAGAGCTACTGCAGATTCTATCAGATCTGACCTTCATACCAGTGAGATCAAGCGCTGGCTTTGTCCCCCGGATCCATCTTCAAACGCCAGCCATGCTAGGACGCTCCGCCATGAGGGGACTGGCACGTGGCTGCTCGAATCCCCCGTCTTCCAAGAGTGGCACTCGGGGTCACGTCGACAGTTATGGCTGCACGGGCTCGCGGGGTGTGGAAAGTCGGTTCTGAGTACCACTGTGCTTGATCATCTCGCAAACCGAAACGACGATCTTATCCTTAGCTTCTTCTTTGACTTTAACGACGTCGCAAAACAGACATTGGAAGGCATGCTGCGCTCGCTTGCTTTCCAGCTTTACCGCCGTGGGGTGGACTCCGCAAACCATCTCGATGCTTTGTTCCAGGCGCACCGAAATGGCAGCGACCAACCTACGACAAAGGTGCTTTGGAGTGTTGTTTTCAAGATGCTCGTAGCCCAGAGGAAGGTCTCTATTGTTCTGGACGCATTGGATGAATCGAAAACAAGGGACGCTGTGCTCGGGTGGATTAAGGATATGGTGTCCAGGCCAGAGTTGGTCCATGTTCAGCTGCTTCTTACCGGTCGACCTGAATCCGAGTTTCTGCGCGACATTCCCCCCTTAATAGGAAAGCAAAACAGCCTGGCACTTGATAAGCAAGCCATCAAGTCCGATATTCGATCGTGGGTCATAGCACAACTTTCTCAACGGCGTGATTTTACAGAGAAGCCCTTGTCCCAGAACCTTCTGGAAGAGATCCGGAAAAAGGTTGGCGACGGCGCCGACGGGATGTGAGTAATCACTGCTTTGAGCAATATAATGATAGCTTACTGACGCCTTGATTAGGTTTAGGTGGGCGTTCTGTCAGCTAGACAGCCTGGCTCGATGTCGTCACGAGGCAGCTATGGAGGAGGCTCTTGAATCTTTGCCGCTGGATCTCAACGAGACATACGAGCGTATATTTGAAAGTATACCATCGGAGTTAAAAACTGACGCGATACGGCTTCTCCAATTCCTAGTGCATTCCAAGCGACCTCTAACGCTGGCTGAGGTTAAAGAAGTAATAGCGACGCAGATTGAAGACGAGTCACGAGGGTTTGACATAAAGCGTCGATTGTTTTGCGAGACTGATATCTTAGCTTACTGTCCCAGCTTAGTGACAGTCATCTATAACAATGATAAAGAGTTGCATCTTGCCCATTTTTCTGTGGAAGAGTACCTTCTCAGATATGACCAATTCCAGATTACGACTGCCAGCATTTCCATCACGAGGACGTGCTTGACATATCTGACAGACATCAACGGTAGCGAAAGAGAGATAACGCGGTATTTTCCGATGGCAAGATATGCGGCCGAACATTGGACATACCATGCTACGTTAACACTGGCCTACGAGGAGATTACCCAAAGAATAGTGAGCTTTCTAGAAACGGAAGAGACATTTCAAAGATGGGCTCGTTTGCATCAGGCTGATAGGAGTTGGGACGATAGCCCTGGAGCTGCGCGCGGCTCTAGGCTCTACTATGCTTGCTTCAATGGACTTGGAGTGCCTGCACGAGATCTTATTGACAAGGGAGCAGATGTCAACGCGCAGGGCGGCTACTATGGCAACGCTCTCCAGGCTGCCTCACAGCGAGGCCATCAAGAGATTGTCAACCTACTTTTGAATAATGCAGCAGATGTCAACGCGCAGGGCGGCTACTATGGCAACGCTCTCCAGGCTGCCTCAGGTTGTGGCTATCAAGAGATTGTCAACGCGCAGGGCGGCTTCTATGGCAACGCTCTCCAGGCTGCCTCACAGCGAGGCCATCACGGCATTGTTAATATGCTTCAAAGAAGAGGCGCTATCACATTGCCTTCACCGTAGTCCGGCTTTGTGGCTCCGAGAAACCTGGTTGAGACTCTTTCCCTCAAAGACTCCGGACCTTCCGAACAAACTTTGTAAATTCTTCTATGACTTCCACTATAGTGTTCATCTATAGCCTAGCTTCAGGCCTCATCACTCTCATCGTCTCGCATATTTTAGGTCTGCCAACTCAGATAACAAGAATCTGCTGTTTCTGGGCAATAGTCCCTTTTCTTCCCAAAATAGATTGCATCAAAATTACATATGTCAAATGAACGACAGTCCCGATGGGATTCATAAACATGTTGGAACTTGATATTGCCCTTTATCTGTATGATTATCAAACACCGTCGGGAACATCCTTAGTCTACCTATGGAAACTTTGTGTAAATCGGATTTGATCGTAGGTAATATCTTTATTCAATTCGGCGTGGGTTAATTTGAACCAGGGCTGGTGGAGCTAAGAAGCTCCGGATACAGGCGATGAAATTCGAAAGACCGAACTCATCAAGGCCTTTCCGCTTTCACTTGGAAATCTTCCGGTCATAATGGTATACTGTAGCCATTGATCTGCTTCGAAAGTGTTCGACTAGGCAGAGGGAAAGACTTGAACTACATTATTCGCATACTTTAATTATCAACTTCTCGAACATTGCTTGTGTAGGAAACGGACAGGTTCAATGTCATTTTATAGTTATATACTCTTATATCCTAAGTTTCAGGGCCAATTTCTGCCTTGAGCTTGAACTTCGAAGAGGTGTTCTGTTGCTGATCACCTTATTACACATGAAGCGAGATTTTTGACTACATCACTCGAAACTGTCCTTTCTAAATGTAGGGACGGACGGAGCCGATGCAAGAGTGGAGAGTTACCACAAGGGGCAGACTTGGCGGGATCAAGTGCAAGCGTGTTTCACGTAATTTACAAAGCCGAGACACGTATAATACGAGCTTTCAATACAAATCGGCACTTGAAACGAGGCTAAGCAGGATTAAGATTAGCGTGTTTAGAAGGAGGGTTCGAGAAAGAATCTCTGTGCGCAAGTGGTGAAACTGATTTCGATCCTCCCTGTACACGCTTTTCATTTCTGGCAGACAGTTCAACATGCAATCATCTTCTCCAATGTTGTGGCCAGAGCCTTGAACAGTGACAGCGTTGGTATCCATCGAGAACGTGATTCAATCTGAATGAACATTAGTTAGGAAACTGTGGGCACATATAATAAGAATAAATTACCAAAGACTGACGTTTACTCGAGGACAAACATGAAAAGGAGACTGTGAGGTTCAGGATGCTAAGCAGAGGTCCGACAGCGCGCTAGTTATAAACCCATCCGTTGACATCACGTGTATGGACCAAGCGAATAGCCGTGGAAGATCATCTGTTGCTCAAATTCGGGACCAGCTATCTTCAGATGTCCGTAATCTATATACGAATAAATATTATCTATCAAGATCGAGATCTGAAGTTATCACGCATTTTCTTCATGATCATCGAAAGGAAAATGGGAAAGGACCGCAATTTTCTCCATCTCAGTGCTTGAATGTTCCATCAAACCGTCTTTGATGCTCTGGATGATAGCCCTGCACCGTTCAAGCTCATCATCATCTGAAACCCAGCCTAGGGCATCTGTGCCAATGAGATCCCTCATCTCCCCCAGTTCCTGTAGTTTCTCTTGTTCTTGGCGATGATCCTCCGAACATTTCTGCATCTCTTCACCAGAAAATTGAATTGGACACTCAACAGATCTCGTTTGTGCTCCTCCATCCAGTGACATGGGCCAATTCTTGAGGACCTGTAACATGGCATACTTCAACGAGACAGAGTCCCCTTCCCAGGGAGCCTGTACGTGATGAAAAAGCTTCGCTCGAAGCATACAGTTTTCGGTTCTGATGGCGTCAAAATGATCCGGCAGGGATTTCATGGTCAAAGCAGCATAATAGAAGTGGACAATCCGTCTCCGCATCGTCTCTTGAACAGTTCCTTGTTCTTCATTGCTGAGTTGATCAAAATTGTCTGGCAATTTGACCTCTGGCTTAGATAATGTCTCGGACAATGGATCGCCCCAATTTTGAAAATGATTGGGGATTCCAGCGCACAGACAGAGGGGTAGAATGACTGCATGCTGCCAGTCAATGATCCCTACCACATCGTTGGACGTATTCACCAGGATATTGTTAGGTGAAAAGTCCGGATGGCGAAGAGTCGGGCGAGACATGCGGTGGCCGGATGGGACGTCGAGGTAGGGCGCTAACTTTAAATAATTGGTAAGAAGATGTTGGTACGGAATAGGTGAGATTTTTTGTAACTGGTGTATTTCTCGTAGGTATCTTTCGACGTGTAGGCGTGGTTTGCCAAATCTTTCACAGAATTCTATCTCGCGCTTGGCGGGTGCTTCAAAGCATGCAGAAAAGGTAGTCCCTGGCTCAGAGTCAATATCCCCAAAGAAAACAGGCACTCCTGGATGAAGACTTACATGGGCCGCGGTCAACCTTCAGAGAGGCCCGTTCTCGATACCACCATTCATGCTGTGCAGTTGGGCCAACGACGATATCGTCCGAGACTGGGATAAAGTGTCGTGAGCCGTCGAGATCACGGCGGTGATAAAGACTTCCGCTTGCTGGGAAGTGGATGCTCATGAATCGTCTCTCCAAATCAACAATCTGTCTCATTACTTTGACCCGAGTTTTTGTATCCATGGAGAACCACTGATCACTCAAGGGGGTTCCTCCAAGCTTTTCAAGCAGAAGATATTCGGTTCCAACGGCGTTTGTCTGATCTGGAGAATACGCAAGGACTTTTGGGACTGGGACCCCATGAGCACGCAGAAGTGCGAGTGTAGCAGCCTCACTGGCCACTGCATGATGTTTCGGGACAGTCGTCTTGTACGGTAGCCTTGCAAGAACTGCATATCCGTCATCGAAGGTGACTTGCAAGACACGGTTGAAACCCCCCTCCGCGAGTTTTGTGATCGAGGCCACGTCATTGACATGTCGACCGACAGAATGGCAGGCCGCCGTTGCAAGAGCATCCACGTCGAATTGAATACGGCGTTCAGCGCGGCGGAGCTCTTCGTTAAATCTGTTTGACGCAGCGAGTCAGTTTATCGCAATTTGACGCGTTCAACAGCTAACCACCGTCACGACTCACAAAAAGCGCCCAGAAGTGTACTCGAACAGATCAGGCTTACCACCCATCGAGGACATCCTCCTGGGTAGTGACTTCGAGTATGGACTAAGAAATCTCGAAAAGCGTCGCATCTTAAAGCAGATGGTTGTCAATTCCAAGATTGCTCTAGGGTACTTCCAAGGTTACCTAGCCGATTCTGGCTAACATGCGTATTACTCAGCACAGACGTGACCCTGTCGGTAAATGTTAGGATTCTTCCCATTCGGCCAATCGCAAAGCGACAGATACAGTATTTGAACTTGGGTACTTCGGTCTAGGGTCCACTTCTTAGGCCCACTTCAAATATTGTCTCGCAGAAACGGAAATTCAATCCAATTTAATAGCTGGTAATGCCCAACTTCGTATTTGAACATAGTAGGTTATCTAAAGTGACGGTCAGACCCTGAAGTGGGGCCAGAAGTACCCAAGGTCAAATACTCATGGAACACCACTGTACGTGCTACGGGTAGATCCTGAGGTAAATGGCCTCGAATGCTGACTGAGCACAGATTTGATACAAAAGTGGCCTCATCACGTGGATGCGCAAACTCGACATTTCTTTGGCCTCTGAGAAGGGAGGATCTATCTAGTCGATCTCACTATCGACAGCGTCAAGAGCCGCCTGGACATCTTCCTTAGTGCCACCGTCGGGGATTTTGACAGTTGCAACGATTCCGTGTGTCCCTTTTTCGTGTTTTTGTCTCCACTGCTTCCAGGAAGTTGGGATCTTGTTACCCGAATTTACCTGAACCTGGAATCTGTGGAATTTCTTCCCATTTTCCTCAATAGTGCCTGCGAAGTCGAAACGCACTCCTAGACTCTCGAGATCTGCCGCAGTCTTCGGGAAAGCGGTTTTGTGGAGGGCAACACTTGGTCGCACTAGCTTTTTGTAACCATTTGCATGTTTAAGGACGGCGTCCTTGATTTTGTTCCACTTGTTCGGCATGTGGCTGATGGTGCTGGTTGCTGTCAACAGGTGTTTTCTCACAGAACAGGGAAAAGTATTTACCTTGCGACTGAAGCTTTGTGTTGTTATTCACGATAGTAAATTGTTGCAACAGCTCTGTTGAGTAGAATTGACGAAATGTTGGCTAGTTCAAGTGGTCGCTGAGAAAAGCAGTTGGGAGGTAAGATTCACCACAGCTGTCGAAGGGCCAGCTTTTATAAACGTGAGAGAAACTTTCGAACTAAAGCATCTTTATGCAGCTATCACATCACAAGTCAGCGGCCAGCTACAAAAGAAATCGGGCTGAAGGGATTTAGTAGGGCGCTTAAGCTTAACAAATCAGATGCGCGCGCAGGTCTGAGGCCGCTGCTCTTATGCAAGGCTCAACTGCCAAGGGTGACTTGCCTGGCAGCCCCCATCCAATCAAACTATATTGACGTGACAGCAAGGTTATTTTCGAGCCACATTGTTAGTTACATGCTGTTTCTGTGCACAGGCGTCCGCAAATCAAAACCATGCCCATGTGGGTTTTGTTTACAAGAGCGCCAATGCGCCATTTTCAACGTAGACGTAAAGAATGGAGAGAAACCAAAAGAGATTAGATACTTTATGGCTTATTAGCCGTTTGAAGTTGGAGATGCAGGTTTCGCCAGCCATGCCCAAAATGAAAGTCCTCGTGATTTTTGAAGATTTACCTGCCAATGTTGGGATGGAGTATTTGTTTCTACAGCCTGGTCTTTCTTCTTTTAGTGTTCTTTCAGATATGTACCCATGGATTCTGCACGGTACCGCTTTAACTTGCCACAAGATTTCGGGACGTTTTATTCACGTGACCCTAAGCATATTTTTACCCCGCCGATTTCTTTGTAAGCAGAGAGTTAGTCATGAAGTTCCTGATCGCGGGGTTTCACTCTGTGCAAGGGTTAAGGGCGAAATATCCCCTTAAGAGTCCTCTCTGTATTGGTTCTCTGGATAATGTAGGAAAACTAGCGCTTTTGGCCTTGACTTGGCCAGCAACATTGAATCGAGCGGGGAACCTTGTCTAGGAGACGCGAATACCACGACCTAAGGCACATCCAGCGCGACACCATTATTTTCTCTCGAACATCTGCGTGCGCGGCACCACTTCCGGAGCCACCGATCATTAGCTGCAGGTAGGCAGATTTTCAGAACGAGGAGTTGATCACTACTGCATTAACGTGATCCTATCACCAAGATGTCAGCGCTAAAGCCGCCCTGACATGACAAAGTACGAGCGGCTGAATGCTAGACCCGCTTCACATTCCGAAAGGGGAACTAGGAAAGCACGAAACGGTCTAGGCTCTAGGTAGCGCCTGGTTTTCTCTCGTGATGTGGCGAACCGGGGATCAGTGATTCGTGTAACTAGGTATTTAGTTTCCCAGATATCCCAAATCCCCCGCATCTCTCATATGTCTCAAATTCTTCTCATTACTCGCCAGCTCTACCATTTCCACCATATCGGTCACTTTTAATTGTTTCCGCTACTTTTTTTTTATTAAAATGGGAACTCTACTGCGGGATCCATTTATCAACCCTTTTGAGGAGGAGAGGCAAAAGTACAGTGGAGATCATCATGAACCAACAACTCACCAGCTGAATCGCTTCAGTATCTACTGCGAGCTCCTCAGACAAGATCCCGAGCTCCTTAACGACAAGAAGAGCTCTACACGTTCGAGAAAGAAAATAGCACGGGAAAACTTATTGAAAATCTCGAGACTCAGCTCCTCAATATTTGCCCTGTGCTGCTTTCTTGTGGCAACAACGGAGCTAGGCAGCAAGAGCTACCTCGAAATCATTCCGAAACTGCGAGACTGGTGGGGATCCGTCAAGCATCCAAAGGCGTTGGCCGATAGAGCACGCGTACTTTGCGAAATAGAAGGTGTTGAATACGTGGAGACTGGTGAGATACCAAGTATACATTTCAACGGACATTAATTTACGATATTGTGCAGTTAATACCTCAGAGGACCATGAAATCCAAGCCAAGGAACCCCCAACAAACTCTTCCGAAGGCTCGATTTTCCTGTACCGCGATGAGATACCAATGCTCCAAGTCAGCCTCCTCCCGAGCGAGCCACCATACCAAGCTATCGACCTGAGCACTAGTCATCTTGTCAATTTCCTTTTGACTTACGAAAGCCTGAGTAACCGGCAAGCCGTCGTGAGCTTATTGCAACAGTACGAACCAAGTTGCCCGATTCTGAAGCTGAAGATGCCGTTCTCCAATGCCTTCCCTTCTGTGGAGATGAAAGTGACATCTGATTTCGGGTCGAGCGTTTGCCTTTTGTTCGCTTGGGAACTGGCGAACGATCTTGTCATTTCATTGGGATATTCGACGACGAATATAGCGAATTGATAACGAGCCCAAGAGCAAAAATTTTTCACCGGGCTTCAGAACAAGAAGCACTACTCCAGGTAGCCCGTCGCTTTTCGTGAACTTTGCTGGCTTGCTCAGCACACGAACTACTCCCCCGCCGCCAGTGTTTCTGACAAGGAGCGCCATCACAGTGGAGTCTACTGCCATGACTTCGGTGGTTGTTGTCCACGGATCCAACGCAATCCCATTATCTGGCTTGTTGCTGTTAGCAGACATTTCTTTCAAACCGCAAGAAGCATCCTACCATATTTCCCACCTCTTTGAGCAGTTTCTCTGCCATGTCCATGATGTTGCTGTCTGGCAAACCATCGACAGATAAACCAGCATCCTCAACTTCGTCCTTTTCCATGCTTTGATCCAACACTTGACTTGGCTATTGGAGTCCGATTCAACCTTGCGCGCTTTCAGGCCCGGGATATAGAAGAATTTGAACTATATAAAAAGAATCGATGTCAGTGATCTGCAAAAAGAATTTGTCGAAGAAGGGTCTTGCTTCTTGCTCGGGATCCACGTAACAGGATATAATATCTGAGCAGGCCTTGACAGGCTGTCAAATCGAAAATCATACTCACAATGCTTGGCTCCCTCTCAAATTATTACCGATAGACCGTATTCATGTAGGCGACCTGACATATCACCGTTTTGTTGGAGAAGACCACAGAATAAATTTCTCTGCGTGCCCAACTGAGAATCCAACAAGCGGGGTGAAGGTGGGGTTTGGGCTCACTTCCAGGCGCTCACATGATCGGAACCGCCAATCAACCCATTTTCCCATTTTTTCCATTTTTCCCATCTTTCCCATTTTTTCTTATTTTTCTCATTTTTCCATTTTCCCCATATTTTCCATTTTCCCCATATTTCCCATATTCCCATGTTTCCCGTGTTTCCCGTCTTTCCCATGTTTCCCATGTATTCCATGTATTCCATGCTATTAGTTCCTAAAAACCAGCGTACGATTTTGTCTATCTAGGACAGAAGTGGTAAAAGCGACGCCACCAACTGAATGATTTTCGTGCCTATCCAATTGAGGATGGTATTTAATTCATATGCTATGCACTATGAAGCACAGCCCTATGCAGCTAAACGCCGAATACGTGAGGGGAAGCAACATCTTGAGCTGCAAGTATAGAGATCTATATCCCAAAAAAAAAACACAGAAGTCCGGAGTATCGAACATATAAGAAAGAGCAATTTCTCAGGTTCTTATTGACCTTTTCCTTCATCATTGGCATTCCAGTCGCTTAAATATTCGTACCAGCTTCCCATAACGCACCTAATTTTCTCAGTCATTCAACTACGCAACGTGGCATTGAACGAGACTTCTTCTCCCTGTCACCAAGACATGACGCCGCCGGATAGCCCAACGAAGGGGACAGCTACGTCTCAGACGATTGTAAAGGACCTGAAGCATCTCTTTGGTGTGTTCCTTGAAAAGGTGTTCGATCTTGCCAACCAAGAACCTCCAAACACTCCTGTCTCCCAGGAACAGTCCCCAGCAGCCCCTGACAGGATTCGACTGAAGCAGTTGCTGGTGAAATTCACCAGCGATGAATGTGCACCAGTTGGACCCTTCGCGGCAACTAACCCTGCTAGGTCTGGCCTTGCCAACAATGAACAGGAAGAGGTTTCTCAGGCGACAGATGGAATCGATCTCAATCGTCCAATCTGTACTAGTCCAGATGATTTCAAATCGTTTGAGAAATGGGCATCGGCATCCCAATTCAAAACAGTCGTGGAAACGTATGAGCTAGCCATCAGACCCTTTCTCGTTCGGGAATTGCTGACACAGGTCCAGTTGGGACAAAGAGGCATGTAAATACAAGATAGCCGAGCCGACGGATACCAGCACTGGTCTGGACGACTATGCTGAGTATGCATTCGTTGTCCGTGAACGTGTTGGTACGTGACACCTTTGCATGCCGGACCGAAAACCTACTAATAGTATGATCAGACCGGACGTCCAAGGAGATAGTGCCATTCATAGACATCAAGTCGGAAGGCCTACGCGAGATCCTACGAGACGTGCTGCACGACATCAAGGCAGTTAGCCTGATGGAGGACAAGCCATCGGTAATTCAGATAGTAATCTCATCAAAGAGCACGCTGACGTGAATTTAGATCGAGCAAAATTTCCTTTTTCATTTCCTTCCAGAGCTCGACAGATGTGCGGAGAACATGGATAGCAGTTCGGACCATGAGTCGGCACATACGGAGCATCTCCGCCTGCTCATCGACCACCTCGAGCAGGCATATGCTTCTACCTCGCAGCGTCTCGAATCAATGTTGCAGCACGGTCATATTACATATGACCTTCTTTGGGCGCTTTTCAAGCCTGGTTGTCATGTTTATACCACATGCATTGGCACAAAAGAACCGCGATGTGTCAAATTCGACGCGGGAGAAGAGATATCCCAAAATGACGAGACGTGGTTTAATCTCGAATGCCGATTTCTTGATTATGACGGAGTTAAGTTCGGTGAGGCCGGAATCTTTCTGCGTGTGCCAAAGTTTCGAGGGTCAAAGCCGATCGAGACCCTTGAGGCCTTCCCTCTCCACCACCATCGAAATCACGAGCAAGTCCGGAAAGACTTGATCGAGAGGGGTCAAAAGTTTCGGGATTTGGCCGGCTCACACGTTCGGCACTGTAAAGGCAGCGCATTCTTTATGAACAAGGGGAAGGCTATCAAAGTCAATATCAACAGTCGAGTGGCAGTGGACGCCGCATTTTTCCATGAAATGCAGCCAAATTACTCCCGACCGTCACTCCGCGACATTGGGGTCAAGGATAAGGATGGAATTCCAGTATTCGACATTGGTGCAATGCTTATGGAGGGCCGTGAGCGAGAGAAGGAGAAATTGCGAGGAGACGGTGTGGATGAACAAAAGCTGAGCGAGGCCAATTTACTTGTCGCCTGCCCAACAGTTTGCTGTTTCAGTTTCAAGGAGAAAATGTTCTGTATGTGACACGACTGACAATGGTTTGGTTTCCGGCTAATGTAATTCCAGTGGAGTGCGCAGTTAGTGCTCTTAGGGACGTGGTTTGGTCACCCGAGTCGTTCGACTGCCTGAAGATCCCTTCAGAGACTAAGACCATCCTCTTGTCATTGGCGAAAACTCGCCTAGGGATGATACCGACGGTACCGTTCGACGACGTAATTGATGGAAAGGGCCAAGGATTCAACATTCTTCTGAAGTATGTCGGCAAAGCGTCTATGAATCAAGACTTCCCAACCTAACTTGTGCTAGTGGCCCACCGGGAGTCGGAAAGACTTTCACGGTTGAGGCAACCTCGGAGTATTTCAAGCTCCCCCTCTATTCTGTATGAAACATCCAGCTCGGCTGATTTTGGCGTCACTAATTTTTCCAGATATCTGCAGGCGAACTTGTTGTTAACCACGGGGATTCCAATGCGCTTGAGCAACAACTTGAAACAGTATTCAAGATCGCCAAACACTTTAATGCCGTGCTTCTCTTGGATGAGGCAGACGCGTTCATGGAGCAGCGTACATCTTACCACGATACCCACAATCGCCTTGTGACCATTTTCCTCCGAAAGCTGGAATATTATCAAGGAATTCTTTTCTTGACTTCAAATCGGGGTATCCAGTTTGATGACGCAATTCTCAGCCGGATCCATTTGATCATTGAGTATGAGAATTTAACGAGAGAGTTTCGCAGAGATCTCTGGTCAACTTTTCTGTCCAAGGCATGTACGATGCAAGGACCTGCCATTGTTGAGGAGCACGAACTTCGGCGATTGGAGTCTTTAGCACTGAATGGACGAGAGGTGGGTGTCCAAGTGGCACTGAACATCTCACTTGCTGACCAATCATGAACCAGATCAAAAACGTCGCAGCAATTGCACACGCTCTCGCTGAGGCTGACGTCAACCAGGTGAACTACAAATACTTGAAGTTAGCCGCCGAATCAAATAAGAAATTTTCAAAGGAGTTTGGCAGAGAGAGGCCTGCTGATGGAATGTATGTCTAACAGCATACCTGGGAAAGTCATGTGGATAATCTCGTTCCTCAAGGTTGTCGAGCGGTTGGGCGCTCACCGCAATATTTTCGGTTAGCACACGACAGTCCATAATATCGGTCCTGAAGCTTCATAGTTGAATCAAGGTTTTCATGTGATTCATGGTATCACACAAAAGTCAAGTCCGAGAGCCAGAATTGGGATGATCGATTCGTGATTGTCAACGCATATAGAATCGTATATCACCAGAGGCCATGTAGGTGCATTGGAGAAGCGGGCATCAAGAATTATAATAGATAGAAGATTTGACTGATTCATGCGGATGCGGGCCGGAAATGCTTTATGCTTCATTATCATGCATAATTGTATTGCTAATCCGATAAAATAAGCACACTGCCTCACGTCGCACGAAGACGTTTGGATCTCCTATCTCTGGTTGAAATAGTCGTCGTTTTACAGCTCGTGGTCGCTGCAAAGTCGGTCGACTTTTCAATGTAGAGCGGTGAAACTCGATAATCAACGCCCGCCCAAGCTCTTCGTTCCACAAAATATTATCACGCCGAAGGTTTTCGTGGATGATTCCCAAAGCTTTGATCTCTCTGTTCGACTTATATATCTCCTGGAGAAGGATAGGCGTGAGTTCCATCGACGTTGTACTTTCGCCTCCCCACCCCATCACGAGCAGATGGCGAATCTCTCCAGCCCCATGAAGGAAATAAATTTTCGCCAGGTCGATCGTCCCCAGAAATACAGGCACAGCAGACCCTTGAGCCTTGCGCAAAATTTGGTATACTTGCGCTTCGCGAGAGACATCTTTCCACAGCCCCGACGTGGTTCCTTTTCCGATAACAGTGTAGCCATATACGACACATGTAAGTTTGAACGGCGCACCGTAAGCCCCGCAACCTCCAAGGGGTGTGCATCTGTCAATGTTTTCGTCCAGTGACGCAAGGTTTCTGTTGGTTAACTAAACTAACTTTAGCATCTCAAAGTATGACATAATATCCCCTTCCTAGACAAAAGGGAGACTCACCAAAATTGGATTTTCTCTAGTTTCAAAGGGACTATGCGCTGGGGGCAAAGTCGGTTTACTAGGTCAGTCGCCTCGCCCTAAGTCGTGAGGGTCCATCCGACTCAACTCGAGTCGCTCTAGACAGAGATGTGAGCGATCGAGAATGCCAATACTGTGTGTAGGTTGGAGTCGTCGTTCTTCCTCCTTCTGGCTGCGCTCTGCTGCTTCTCGGAGCCTTTGTTATTCTTCAAGCTGACGTCGTAACTCGGCGATTCCTCGGTCCCTTATTGAAAGAAGTATTCAGCAGATAATCGATTGAAGTTAACAGAGTAGGCGGCCCGCTGGTTGGCGAAGGGGGACGGACTGTGATGGAGGGATCCAGCTTACTCACCCCTTGACTGCAGAGTCGATTAGTGCCTCAGGCATAAATACACTTTGGCCGTTGATTTCAGAGCCTCTGTTTCCAAATATACACTGATTCGATGGTATCTAGATTTGCCTCGTCAGTACATAAAAAATTTCGGTCCTCCTTCCAATCCTCAAAGTAGTCACCGTAGCGAGACGATTATTTCAATTGCATCACTCGCGAGGCCCACTTCCGTCCTCCAATAAAGGCCATTTGCTTCGAAGGATAACTGCGTTGTATGATCTCGCTGAGAGGAATGCACAACGAAGCTAGTAGCCAGCAAAAGCTCTTTCTAAATAGAGAATAGACTTACCTTCTCTCGTTGTCCGTCTGTTCTGCCTAACACGCTACTGTATGCTCTAGGCCTTGGGGGTTAGACATCATGCAGTCATTATCCAACGGACCTCATCGACAAGTAAAGACGTACCTGCCATATCCCTTGTCAGGAACAGGCTTGCTTGCTTAATGCTGATGGTCCCTGGTTGAGCCATCAGGTCCTGAATACACATCGGCCATTTCGGGGATGATTAGCTCTTAAATATTGCATAAGATGCCTAGAGGAGGCGAGGTCTTACTATCCAGAACTGCGAACTCCAAACCGCGAACTCCAAACCGTGAAACTTCAAACCGCCGACACTCCCATTCTTGCTTAACTCTCTAGGCTAGCCGGCGACCCAATACTGTAGTTGGCAGTGCTATGGAGGTTGCGTATGGCTGGCGACTCCAGCCCACGAACCCCACTTTCAGGCCATTTCGGGGTCGCCTTCCATTCCGGCTCGCCTGATCTCCAGGTTAAAAGGCAAGACCGCGGGGCCACCAATGACGCAGTGACGCGTCTTCGGTTCAGATCCCGCATACAGCCAATGATTGGTTTACAAGAAGATGACTAAACATGCTGTTGTGACGTAACTGGAAATATCTCCTCAGAGAGTGTACGGAGTACGTAAGTGGGATATTGCAACTAAATTGCAATTCAGAACCGCGAACTGCAAACTGCGGACAAGCCCTTTGAGGAACAAGCAATCGTTGACATACTGCCAGTCCAGCCAAGCACAGCCCGAGCGTAGAGCGACAGTCAGTGTCGCGGGTCTGGAGCGTTGCCCGCGACTCCAAGGGACTTAGAACCCCTATGAAGAGAAACCCATTGGCCTAGAGGTTTCACAACGGAACCAAAGGGGCGTCCCAGGACTTCGTTATGGCATTATTGGCAACGAACAACTCCATGATTATTGGGTCCAAAGGGCTGACTAAACATAATGGAACAGTCTAGAACATATGTAAATTTGGAAACCTGTGGGGTTTTAATATGTACAACTGGGGTATCAATACTTCAGTGGTAATAAAATAAGAGAAGTGGAAAAAATCCCAGTCATCAGACTGGTTCCATTGGTATCAAAACTATAGTATTAAAACAAGAGAAAAATCCAAATTTGGCCCCGGCTCTGGGATCCCACTTGCAGTTCCTGGGTTCTGGGCGGTTCCGGGGAACGTGGTTGGTGTTCCTGGGAGCTCCACATCCCGCTCCTGGGAGTCACTGGACTGTCTGTGAGGATCTCACGTATACGTAGATGGATAGTCAATATTAAAGAAAGCTAAAGTCGACTCTAGATACAAGACGTAGCGCGAGGAAGCAAAAGGAACAGGCTTCCTCGCGTTCAGGGGAACCCATATGCACCATGTGGGTCCCGCAGATCATTTCTCCAAACATCCTGTATACTTCATGTATATCCCTGACATTACCCCCTCCTAAACAACTAGGAGCTCCTGCGACGCCAAAGTTCAGTAGGCGAAGGCCGATCTGGGTTCTGACTGTGGAACTCGTACAAGAGTTCGCCACTCCCCGGGACCAGGTCCTGTTGGGGTCGCCACGAAGGAGGGTAGCCTTTCCATTTCACGTGGTATTCTAGTCTTCTCTTTCCATGTCGATTCTTGGTGATGCGTGAATCCAGTATCTTTTCAATCATCCATTCTCTTCTCTCGGTATTATCTTTATTCAATCTGATTCGGGGTTGAGTAGATTCGTTCTGGGTAGTCCTTTGGAAGGGCGCACACCCACCCGATGGTATAGGCATCGTGTCGGAGTCGCTTTCGGCATGGGGATGTTTCGGAACTAGTTTTGTTTTGTGCTGACACTGATTTCTCTGGCTGAGATGGGGGATTCCCAGCCATGTTGAATGGAGAGCAACTCGACTAAGCAGAATTTCCAGACGCGCGGGATAGTAGTCGGTGTGTCAATCAAGAACCCTCTCTGCTAGTATAACAAGAGGTCTTGGTCTTTCTTGTCCAGAACAGGGGTGTCACAAAGTGAAAGGTTGATGGAGTGGCTGTCATTTACAGTAAGGATTCTTGATGTGGTTCATGACGAGAATCAGAGCCGGACATCCAACCAGCTGAAAGAGGGGCACGTCCTCAGCCTCGTCATCATGTGACTCTAGCGCGCTAAGCAATTATCTGCGCCTTTCAGCTCGCTCACACCGTTTCCTGAATGGTTTTCTGTCGATCATACTTCCATGTGGGGGCGGGTAGTGCCGTTCCCAGGAACTAATCGACCCGATCCAAACAGTGAGATCGAATGAGAACCCCGTTACCCGAACCAGCCAATATTTTCCAGATAAAACACTTTAACCACATCGCCTGAAGAGGCCACTGTTTCCAACAATTTCAAGCGCACATCAGAAATACTATGATCGGGAGCAGAGATCATGACGGGCGTTGTCTTTCTAACTGCATTGTTTTTTGAGGCCCGCAGATTTGTGAGTGCCACGAAGCTCCCAGGAACTTCCAGATCGCCAAGTCACATGCATTTGCTAATAGTTAGCATCCCCCAGAACCTTACCCTAACATCATTTCACCTGCTCACTGATCAGAGGGGAAACTAATGGGGGAGGAGAGAGATTACCCACTAATATTGTCTCCTTACAACTGGCTCATTTGTAGGGGTCACTCTAGGTGGCAAGAGGTTGACGGAGGGAGATTCAGATTCTGCCACGTCTCCAGACGACAAGAGCATACACCCATCTTTTTGACATGTTTTCAGCATCAAACGTTCCAGAAACCCAAGAGACCGTACAGTTCTAATACAGCAGCTATTTTTATCCTGTTATTTACAACTGTAATGGATTACTGCCAAGACAGGGGTTCAGTAGAAGAGTAACTGGAATAGGCATAGCGTTTTTCGGAGGAGGGTTCGAGAAAGAATCCCTGTGTGTGTGTGTGTGTATATCTCAACCAAAACACCATTAAATTAATTCAACTAAAATGATTTATCTATCTGGACATGTTTCTCTTCTAAGCCCCGGCAATCTGCATATTCCACAAGCTCGCCCGGCTCGTGTAGCTGGCTGTAAACCCTCTGAAACCTGCTCACGATAGGCATTGATACGCGCTACTTGGGCCTCAAATGGCTCTGAACGTAGCTCACGAACCTCCTGAACTGAGAGATCTCCTTCGTGGGCTATCTACCTAGTCGACCGAGTCCGTTTTTGTTTCTGCTTCTCGTTGGCAGCGCGTAATTCCTTATTTTCTTTCGCGAGTAGTATAGCACCTTGCATTGTGAGACGGAAGCCTTTAATCAGCTGGTTTAATGCACGATCTGATGGGCTTGGTGGACTTCGAGATCTTGTACGAAGTAAAGCTTTGATTGATGAAGCCTGTCGACGTAGTTCTTTCTCTGTAGCTGGTGTTTTTGGTGTAAAAATATTACAGGGGCCTGTTAATGAATTTGGAAATCCAAACGGTGATTTGCCGCCCTCCTCAAAATCGCAGGCTACAATCATGGCAATTACCATTTGCCCGACGGTATGACTCTGGATTCAAAGCAGGGTAGATACATGGCAAAGTCCGCAAAGTCACTTTTGGTAAGTGAACAAAACAACTGTATTAGAACGTGACGAAATAGCGAGTGGCTTTAGTGCAATCGAAAAAATTGAACTAAACATGACTTCAGGATGAGGCCTGATCTAGAATTCCTCCATCTTCAGGGTTGAAATAAACGCTACATCATCTCTTTCTTGGCATTGCTGAGGATTTGTGCGCCGCTTGCTCTCTCGAATAGTGTCCTATGTTTGGGCTTAAATCCCACCATATAACGGATCTAGCATTTTCATCCGTTCCTGAACTCTGACGGAACGGCGTAGCGGAATAAAAGGTTTTATGCCCGCCTCTCTCTTGCTCTCTGGAAGAGTGTCAAAATCGATAATGTCACCTTGACTTAAATTAGCTCTCCCAAGCTCCAAATCTCGTCGGAGCACTTACTGTCAAGTAAGGAGGGAGCGAACGTCTCAAGCACTTCGCGGTTGACCCAAAGGCCAACGTGCAGGTCAAACTCATTATTTCTATGCGCACTTGGTGTGGCATTTGAAAGGCGCCCAACTTTTAGTTTGTGACCTTTCTTTGCCTTACTTTCTATTGTCTTCCAGGTGACTTCGATTCCGTATACCGACCAAGTATCGTCCAGTCCCTTGTCGAGTTCAATGGATCGAGGCAGGCTCCATCCATTGAAAACCCAGGGCAAACACGTTTCGATTTTGTTCCTTTGCTCCGATACGACCCCTTCGACAAAATACATCATTGTAGTTTTGACGACCCTATAGCACCGGATACAGGATATCATCTTCAAGGGAGCAGAAATATGCTATTTTCCATTGGTCAGCATGCTTAAAAAACTCAGATAGATATGAGCAAATATGCTTACCTTTCTCATAGTTGATCAGTCACCTATTATCTGAGCAATAAAATTGTCAAAATCAAGAACTTTGTAGGTGCTATTGCCTTTATAGGTCGACCTCGCCAAGACCAATGATCTGCTTATGCAATGAATAGCCTTCTAGGAGCGATAGCATAAGTTCCTAGGAACTTTGGGGTAATTTCTTCCCCCTGGGTAGCAGAAACTACAGGGCCCACACATTTCAGATGGGCATTCTAGAAAGGACCAAGCTCCCAGATACTACAGTATCACGATACACTGACTAATTTAACGGCTGCCTGGTGGTGATTCATCGTTACTTTCTGAGCTTGGTTTATTGCTTTAACCCCCCTGTGGATATCGTAAAGCCTAGACCCCACCCAATATAGATAAGGGTTGAAAAATAATCTCTTCCAGACTACAGAAGGCCTTCCTATGCGCATAGTCCCTGCCAGTGTAAATACCGCAATCCTTTTTATAATCGTACTTTCTCCTAGCGAAATAAAAGCGGAATAGAGACAGGTTCAAATCCAGATGTGGAAAAGGTACAGAACTTGAAAAACATGAATAAGCATCCGCACTGGTTAAGAAATTTGTTGCAGATGTCTTTCCGAACTATATTTCATATTAGCAAATTGATCGATACATTTGTTATAGTGGACTTACGAGTGCTTTGGAGCCATTCAACTTCTCCCTGTACTAGCAAACTGTATACCGGCGTACTCCCAATAATCAGAGCTGGAACTACTGCCATAGAAGCCAAATAAAGGAGACGAGGACGATGATTGCTGTCACAGTAGAGATGTTTCCGCGTTCAGACCCTGCGCCGTTAAATTCAGAATTGCTCCCTGAATCAAACTCCTAGTGAATCCTACAACCAAAGTTCCACACAGCCATTCCTTCCCTGGAATCGCATTTCTTGGTTGAAGGATGATGAAAAACAGTGAGATGATTTCTGGAGTCTATATTTTCTTTGGTATAATCATAAAGAAACCATCATTATGAACTCTACGTGGAATCGCTCTCCAATTATCTAGCTTGGATCTGGAGCATATTGCTTTCAACGCCAATAGGAAGAGGCAACAGGCTGGGCATGATCGGTCAGCAGTAAACCCCGTAAAGTCCCAGTCTAAAGGCAGAGTTTTTCAAGTGCCTTGGACTTAACCCCGGTATAAATGGAGTTTCCCCTTATCCCTCTTCCAGAATAAATTTGCCAACTTGTGACGCTGAATTTTAATTTGACCCCTTATTTCACCCTCAACTACGCTCATCAGGTATTTTGCACTCAAAACTTACATAACTATTCCTAGAAAATATTCTTAACAACTTCAATTTTGCAATATGACCACTGTAAATCCAGCAATTGGAGAGAAATGCATATGCCAGGCTTTGCGCGGGCTCGAAAATTCGTGCACACAGCCAACAAGGCGAGCGCGTACACAATAAATGATGGACTCTCTAGGAAAATGACTGCTGCCTTCTGTGAGACCTACAGACCGAGGCTACATGGTTTAACGACAGCCCTTGACTCCTCAATGGGGCAATGGCGCCCAAAAGGTATCACATTCAGCTAGTGCATCTATTTCAATACCACGGAAGCCCAAAGCTCATGTACAGTAGGATTAGCACAAGCCGTTGCACTGCTAATTTCCTGGCCTAGAGATGAGCTCGTTAGGTCTGTCCTTGGTAGCTATCACTAGAGAATGATGAGCAGTAGACAACTGGCCGCGGTGGAAAGTCTGCTGTTACAGTACCGTATTGCACTTAGAGAACCCGATCGCCGTGAACACATCAATTGAAATCTCTTTCTATAAACTAGCTGAAACCTAGAAGCTTCGCAAATAAACCTTGACATGTCTATGGTTGCGTTCCTTGGCGATGGCATACGCCGTCTGGCCATTTAAATCTTTCAGTCGCTTTTTCACACCACGCTGATTGGCCAACAACTATACAACCTCATAATGCCCACCAGCCGCACTCCACCAGAAAGATGTTCTCCCCTGGTCGTCCACCACATTCACATTTATTTTAGGATGCTCCAATAACATTTTGGCAATTTTAAAACTACCTCGAGCTGACGCAAACATAAGCGCAGTAAAGGAGCAACGGCCTTGATCATTGATCAACAAAGATTCTTCGTAGCTGAGAAGGAGATAGACAATGTCGACGTGCTCCATGATTATTGCGACCTAAAGTGGCGACGTCCCCGATGGACTTTTTTGGTTAATGTCGGCTGAATTTTGTAAAAGAAATCCCACCATTGAAAATTGTCCTACGCGACATGCTGACCAGAGTGGCGGAAATGCATCGGCAGATTGAGGGCTGTTATGAAGCCCCGGCTGTCGGAAGAGGACTTTGATCAAGTCTAAGGAGCCATTTGCAGCAGCCTTTGCCAAAGGTGTCTAGCCCAGCTTGTCGGCGCAATTGAGGTCCAGATCTGTTTGCTACAAGAGGAGCTCAGCCAGTTTTATGTCAGAATTGTTCACTGCATACCAGATTGCGGTGCGTCCATTCTTATCTTAATAATTAAGGTTGATGCACGGACTCAAAAGCAAGGCTTCAATGATAAGTATTCTTTTGTTGATGGGGAGAAAACGACCGTGTCCTTTGACAGCCAGAAGCAACGGAGTTTCCTGTCGGTGGTTGAGACAGTTGGCATCAACTCGCGGATTTCGTACAAGCATATGGATTGCTCCATAGTCGCCAATTTCTGTCGCTAGGTGCAGTGGTGTTTGGCCATAATGGTCGCAGATGTTGAAATTTGTCCGCTCATCAGACAAGAGAAGTTGGAAGATGTAGGTTTGGCGACAGGTCAGCGCAATTGAAATAGGCGCATTTCCGTCCAGGGATTGGTTATTGAGATCAATATTCTGTACATTGAGGAGTCGTTCGACAATTTTCACGCTTCCATGCAGAACAGCGATCGAGAAGGCACTTTCTCCCAAAGTATTACGCTGTATGACTTTCACTGAATGATGGCTTAAGAGCAAATCAACAGCGTCTGCGTATCGCAATTTTGTAGCCAACATGAGCGGTGTAAGGCCAGAAAACGGTTGGTTAATATCTGCCTTTTCCCAACCCAGAGAGTGCTGGATGATGCCTAAGTTTCTATGCTCGATTGCCCAATGAATTGGCGGGGTGTCTTGGAAGTCTATGCAATCAAAGAGGCTCTTTGTGAAGACGACGTTGGATTCTCGAGATGTGAGACGCAGACTTCGAAGGTCCTTCTTGTCGATGGACTTGCCAATCCACAAAAGCAATTCTAGTGGAAGTCCCAAAAGCGGCATATTGGCAGATTTCGTGAACGTATAGGTAACGACTACCTATACAGATGATAATAAAAGGATGGCTAAGAGTAATATCTCAGAGAGAAGTCTGTCACCGCCAGTAGTTGGCTGAGCAGCGTGGGAGACGCAATTCTTTGAGGCAGTGGGTTCTATTTGAATATTGTTTGAGGGCATATCATTGATACGGATTTATTTAGAAGTGGATGTCGAGTCACCGGCTTCTATAATCGTGATACTTACTCCTGGGATCCTGTGACTGGTTCCTAGGGGCCCTAAGGATCCTGGAATACGTTATAGTGTTCCCAGGAAACACTCACCCATTCCTGGGAGTTATGCATCGTATTTTCGGGGATATACATGAAGAATACAAGCTAAATTGAGATGTGAGCTGCGGGACCCACATGGTGTATATGGATCCCCTGAACGCGAGGAAGCCTCTCTCTTTTGCTGCCTCGCGCTACGTCTTGTATCTAGAGTCGACTATAGATTTCCTTGATATTGATTATGCATCTAGAAGACGCTGTTCTCATCTACGTATACGTGAGACTGTCATATCCCAGGAGCAAGCAACATGATCCTAGAAGCTTGTGGCTTGACATCCAAAGTAGACGGACGATCTTATACCGATGACGCAGACGTTTACATCGCAAGAACGTCAGCAATGCATAAGCCATGTCTTCGGAGAATGTTTAAATAGGGGCCATTGGCCTTGAAAATCTGTATCTGACAATTATCTTATCTCTCCTACAAGAAGTGACAAATCGTCCGAAAAGCCAAAGACGATAAAGATGCCTCCACGGAGAAGACGTTTGGCGTCGCACCGTCCGAACCCATCCCCCTTACCAATCGTTTGTCAAGGTCAGTCTGCAATTGAAGTAACACGGCAGTTCCGAATTAACATCGACTCAGGCACGCAACATCCAAATCAAAAGCTTGAGGGAATCATTACGAGCATATATACTGAGATGTCAAAATTGCAACAAAAACACTACGAGGCAACTATTATGCTACAAAACTGCGACAACATGTTACGGGCCCACGCAATGGACAAAGTCAGCTTGGAGAAGCAGAACCAGTGTTTTATTGAATATATCAAGATAGCTCAATAAAACGCTTGCGACCTAGAGCTCAAAAATCGGGAACTCGAATACCAACTGGCAAAGGAGAGACAGCAGAACTCCAAACAACATGAAGGAAGGCAAAGTTAAAGATTTACTGTTGAAGTCACAAAGTTTGCCTTACCGATCGCACTCTAGGTATTCGGGTTTACCAGCTTTCGAGGTCCTCACCAGCGAGGCTCTGAACAGGAAGAAAGAAGAGGTTTCCGGAGAAGATCAATGACGCCATAAATGATGGCCAGGTAAACAGGGTACTACATCCATTGGAGCTAGAATGCTCAATTCTGTGGATTAGGACATGCGAAGGATCATTTTATTGCGGCGACCGTTCTAAAACGGGATTGTGTGAAAGGCAGGCAGTGCATTACTTTGCCTGAGCCCGCAAGAAACAGACTGTAAACAGATAGAGGCGATGTATTACCTAAATCAAAGTCGTTCCAGAGTTTTGTATTAACACAATGTTGCAATTTCAGTATGCGACGATAGAAAGTTTGTGATTGCCCACCAATAAATCCCTTGACCCCTGTGTCCCTAGAATTCGTGTAAGAACAAAGGGGACTTCAACTAACCCTATGCCCGGATTGCCAGCTACGGTGCTTGCTAGATTAGCTCTGTGTTGTAGGTTCCAACGTCATGACAAGAAAATGGCTTAGAGTTCAATAAGTCTGTTTTATGCTCTTTATTTGTCGCTAGTCATTCCCAGACAACATTGTCCCTCCTAGGAACCACCGGGTCTCCTAGGGGCCTAATACAAGCTCCTAGGAACCGAATAAATGCTCCCAGGAACGGCACGGGTAGTCCTAGGAGCCCCTAAGCTCCCGGGAACTTAGAATTGGGCCCTAGGAGCTTGTATCAGGCTCCCGGGACTCGGTGGTTCCTAGGAGGGACAATGCCGTCTGTGAATGACTAGCGACGAATAGAGAGCACATAACAGACTTATTGAACTCTACGCCATTCTCTTTAGATAACGCGAGATAGGTGGCTTCATGACGTTGGAACCTACAATACAGAGCTAATCTAGTAAGCACCGTAGCTGGCAATCCGGGCATAGGGGTCAGTTGAAGTCCCCTTTGTTCTTGCACGTTAACCACAAGCCAGTCATGCAGATTCCGACTATAGTGTATGCACTACTGACCACGGCGTTACTACTCGCTACCTTCGTCCTTCTCGTGTTATCTTGTCGAGCAGTTCAGAAAAACTCATACACTAGAGCCTCGAAGCCTCCTTAACCATATCAGCTGATGGTCTGCTTTCCACTATTTGCGCTTTTCTCGTGCTTGATCAAGATTATGGTCACAGTAGTTGGTACTTATATTGATCACCCACTGCGAGTCGTCGTACTCTTCCTCCTCTTTTTAGATTACCTAGGCTTAGCTTCTCTACAACGGCCTATCCTCGGACTCGATAATAACTGCGTTGCGCTTTATATTGCACAATTGAAGTGGCAGCTGTTCTTCTTCTAATTGCAGTCTTGGGGTTTGTTCTGTCCTGTTGGCTGCTATCGCCAGAGGTAAATCCTCACCTTTGCGCCATCAATTTCCGAGTCACCACCGGCATTTCCACCGCTAATCCCTGACCCCTGTATTTCCAATTGCTTCAAGAACACGTCAAAAATTACATGTGTTGACTCTGTGCTATCGTGTGAAATTTTTCGCGACTAGATTTGACTAGTCTTCGGACAAACTAACGACCGTTCGTTGAACACGGTCATAAAACTGCAGGAGGCTGGTGACCCTTCGTTTTCAGCTTTGACCGAAAACCAAGACCACCCGACAAAGGCAAGGATCGCTTCAACGTTTTATTCTTCAACGAAGTCAAATCATTAAGGGCTAGTGCTTTGAAATTTAGAAGAATATACAACATGCAATAAACGGTCGGCTCGCGTAGCGAAGCCCCACGCTGCTGGCATAGGCTGCTGAACACATTGTGCCGGTGGAGACGACTAGCCCGGTTGTCTTAACCTGCCCTCAGAAAAGAATATGGCCTATGCTTTGGACCTACCCTTTTCCTCAAAATTAACAGTTTCTAGACCATCACTTAGTTCCCGCTCATTCTCAGCTTTAACCGAAAATCAAGACCACCTGACCAAGGCAAGGATCCCTTCAACGAAGTCAAATTATTGAGGGCTAGTGCTTTGAAATTTTATACAACTTGCAATAAACGGTCGGCTCGCGTAGCGAAGCCCCACGCTGCAGACATAGGTTGCTGTGAACACATTGTGCCGGTGTAGACGACCCGATTGTCTTCACCTCCCTCAGAAAAATCGCTTGCCCTGTTCATTTGGATCTACCCTTTTTCTCAGAATCAATGTTTTCTAGACATCACTTAGTTCCCGCTCGTCGAAGTTGATCTTTTCTACTTGCCCTTAACCGCTGTTCCCACGGAAACCGACCGACCCATTGTTGAACATTTTGTGAGATGTCAACGTAAAAGTTTTTATTTACCAATTTGTGACCTCGATTTTTACATTGAGTATCATGTTTAGCTTCAACAATTTCGTGCGCCATTCTGTCCTTTCAACGAAATTCACTTCCCACCCACTCCAACACGTAGACTCTGGTTCACCGTCCTGGAAGTTTCTCAGGCCAAAGTCCACCCTTTCAACCGTTGTAGTTGATATGTGCATTTGGTTGCCTCACTTTAATTTCTATCACTTAGTTTCTTCCTATCGGACTAAGCTATATGTAATGTGGGATGAAGATTAACCCTTGCTTCCAATTTAGACAATAGTGCGAGCTTGATATTGCCGGGTCGACGTATCAGGACGTGGGGGCTTAGGGGAAGCCTAACCCAAAAAGCTAGACATGCCATCTTCTCAAAGTATTTATAAATGACCCATATAATGTCCGGTGCACACAAACGGTTTTATTTGGATTGATCGAACGGTGGCATATTAGGACTGGAGGACCAAGCTCTGCTTCTGTCTAATGGGCTTTTTGCTATCGCATGCATTTTGAAGCCCTCCCTAAAGTCTAGCTTGAAACCTAAGGGCTCCGCAGGAAAAGCGTGACACCTACATGACCGTGATCCTTGGAAATATCGTACGCTGTCGTGCCTTCCAAATCTTTTAGTCGCTTTTTCATATCACGTTGCATGGCTAACAGCCGCACAATTTCCAGTTGACCACCAGCTGCGGCCCACCAGAAAGATGTCCTCCCTAGATCATCTATTTGGATCCTCTAATAATAGGTTAGCGATTCTAAGTCTACCGTTAGTTGACGCGAACATAAGCGCTGTAAAGGATTGAGGACCTTGGTCATTGACCAATATAGTCTCTTCGTAGCTGAGAAGGAGTCGGCCAATGTCCACATGCTCTATGACGATTGCGACCTGAAGCGGCGACGTCCCTGTACGGCTTTTTCGGTTGATTTCGGTTGATTTTTGCAAGAGGAGTTCCACCATGGAAGATTGTCCTACACGATATGCTGACTAAAGCGGCGGTACTGCATCGGCATATTGGGGGCTTATATGAAGCCCCGGCTGTTGTCGGACTAAATTGCGGTGCGTCCATTTTCATCTCGATGGTTTAGGTCGATGTAGGGACCTAAAAGCAAGGCTTTAATTATGAGCAGCTGTTTGTTGAGGTGGTAACTCACAGACCCCTAGGAAAGTTCTAATGGACATTAAAGTCAAGCAAGTCATATTTTTCATAGCGTGATGAATAGTCAATGTATTATCTGGTCCGGGTTCTAGAGTATAGCCCCACCTATAAGTGGGCATGTAGGGGCTCCTGGGAACGATAAGGCCGCTCCTGGGGCAGCAAGCTGGTCTCTAGGAGTACCCAGAGAGGTTCCTGGATACCAATAGGTTCCTAGGAGCGTATGTTGCTCACCTGGGAGCGCATATCGCCATCCTGGGACGAGCAAGTTTCTACGTAATTAT